GTCAGAGCTGTCTTCTAAACGTGCTAATTTATGCTCTAACGCGATCAAAGATACTTTTTTAGACGCATCACCATTTTCGTCGGCTCATTTGGCCGCTGCCTAGCGTTAGCCGCGGGACCGAGGCTGAGCGGGCTTTGAGGACGCCAACGCTCGGAAACTTTTTTTTTACTCGCAAGCGCGTGTGTTAAATGCTTCATGTTTTTTCTCACTAATCGATTCGGACTGGAGGTTGGACAAAATTTTCGCGCAAACACATGAGTTAGCCATGTTAAAGCAGCTTTGTGAAGCTATATCGATCTACAATTAACGCTCACTGGTCCCGCGACATCTCTGCAGAGCATTGAAAAATCTGATGCAACCACTTATTTCCCTGCATTTATAAAGAGTGCACTCAATCGCTGTAAAATGAGAAGTGACGGTGGGTTATTAAATGAAGTCACTTAACGCCCGCTTTCTTCAGTTTATTAAAGTCAGCATTCGAACATGGTTGCATCTTCTGGTAGCTCCTGGCTTACATGCCAGTTAAAAAAGTTTTCAATAAAATGCAACAAAGAGGATCATGCTTCTCTCGAAATAAAGTCGGCCACATAACGTGATGCGTTTTTTCTGGGGGGAAGGATCCCCATCAGAGATCTTTTTCAACCTTGTGTCTCCCTCCCCTCTGTCACTTGCTAAGGTTCTGGCTGTGCCTCTCTTTACATTTTCAGCTCAAATTACCTACTTCTGCATTCATTCATAAAACTGAAAAAGTGGCCTTTTACCTTTGACCACCATCAAAAAATGTTCGTGGCACTTTCCCGACAATTTTGATTGAAGTCATTCGAGACTTAATTAAGCGTACATTGTCTGTCTCATCTCATTCTCGCATGCCTTGAGTACTGGTGCATTTCTTTTGCCACATATCCTTGGTTTGGTGGCCTGAAATAAATGATGGTTAAATATATGGTTTACTTTGCCGTTGTTTAAGCCAAGCACGTTTTTTTCTTTTTACCCAATTCGCCTGCTGGTGGTATTTAATATCTTAGCCTTCATTAATTATTCCAATCATTTCAAACTCATGCAAACACATACTCCGAAAATGTTTTAGTTATACCCCAGACAATAAGGCGCCCAAAGCGACCTGCAGCTCGGATGATATGTCTATTGTAACGAGCAGTGACATAAACGGTAGCGGCGGTTATTCCTAGCCAGTGAATTACAGACAGCACCCCAGTAGTGAACTGTATGAAGCAAGACCGCAACGTAACTTTCAAGCAATATTTCGTTTTGCGGATGCTTATATCATGTTTCGTCGGAACTCGCAATTCACTAAGCCCAACAAAGTTGCAAAAAGGATTGCCGCGAGAGCAACGATCCACCCTGCAAGAATGACAGGATGCTGAATAACGGGCGGTGGTATTGCAGGGAAGGGATTGAGGAACGGACTGTTGTCATTTCTAAAACAGCTATGATCATCTCCGCTGTACATGTGTGCATGTGTTGTGGTCCATCTCTGAATGTGTACGCAATGAATTCCAGGCGATTGAATCTGACTATTCTTCAGTTGGTCGTTAACAAAGGCTCAATGTCGCTCATTGTCTACACAGCGTTGTCACAAGCATGTTCCTTGCTGAGTAGGAACCAGCAGCGGGTTGCCTGGCTCAGCTGTCCTGTCTGGGTGTCGGGTGTCTTGTTCGGGTGTCAGGTGTCCTGTCCGGGTGTTGGGTGTCATGTCCGGGTGTCAGGTGTCCTGTCCGGGTGTTGGGTATCATGTCCGGGTGTCATGTGTCCTGTCCGGGTGTCTTGTCCGGGTGTCAAGTGTCATCTCCGGGTGTCAGGTGTCCTGTCCTGTGTCCTCTCCGGGTGTCGGGTGTCTTGTCCTGGTGTCAGGTGTCCTGTCCGGTTGTTGGGTGTCCTGTCCGGGTGCCAGGTATCCTGACCGGGTGTCGGGTGTCTTGCCCGGGTGTTAGGTGTCCTGTCCGGGTGTTAGGCGTCCTTTCCGGGTGTCGGGTGTCCTGCCCAGGTGGCGGGTGTCCTGTTTAGCTCGACTGGTTCGGGTGTCTGTCACACCTTCCGCTGGACAACATCGGGCAAAAGCGACGCTGGCGGTCATTAGCTGCAGCTTTCCTTGGTGCGACTGGTGGGAAGGCGGGGACGACGTTTTTACGGTGACGTGATACGACTCTTTGTCGGTTGCACAAACCTGCACCGATGCATACTGGTTTCCAGGTGCAAGAAGTGATTTATCACGACATGTTTGTGCCGCTTCGGTGGTTGGGAAAACCTGTGACCCTGTTACCACTCAGCTACTTAACTGCCGCATTGATTTGACAGAATGTTTACACCTGTCAGCACCTTGACATCATGACGTAAGGGGGTTACGGGAAGTTAATCTAGGCGCTAGTTTCTGGTTGAGTGTATTATTTGGAAAACAATGGACAGTCGAATACATGGCCTGCACTGGTTCGCAAACACAAAGGCACACCTGCACTGGCCGACAGATGCTGCAGTGTCAACACGTTTTCACAGCCGGTGCTTATGGCAAAAATAGCGAATTTTCCAATAGGTAGGATGTGTCATATACCGATGACCTGTCCTGCCCCCGTGATGACATTTTACTGGAACGCAGGGAGAGAAAACGTTTTGCATGGTCACTAAGTTGGCATGTGTGTTCATATTCGAATTCAGGGTAAAGCCCACAGTTACTCTGAAATCACAGGAATCGTTTTCACAGGAATGCTTGGCAAATGTTGGATCCACTTCATTCTGCGTAGACTGTTCATCTGTTCACTGCATGCTGAAGTGGTCATGCAGTTCTGTTACTGATTGCTCATATTATGCAGCTTTGCATTTCGAGCAAATGCAGCCCTCTCCACTCGATCAACATGGTAAAGTAAAAGATGACTGCGAACAGAAGTGGCAACCCGGGTAGAAACTGGGCCAGATCCTGATGGCCCGAGGTCAATGCGGTAGAACAACAAACCATGAAAGCGAAGACACAACAGACAAAAGCGTGGCCCAGTCATCATCGCACATTTAAAAGTGCGTTTTGATGTTTGGAACTGTTCGCGTGCGCTCAGTGGTACGTTGTTCCTTTTTCCGTTAAGCGTTCGTTCCAGCCCCAACTATGAAAAGAAAATTGACTAGATTGGCAGAGAGACCCGCTTTGGGGCGTAATTTGAGCGTGGTTTTAATCGTGTTTTTCTGTTAAGTTTCCTTTCTCTTATTTTGCGGAAGTACACCTTGGGCGCGGATCTTCAAGTGTGAGACACGAATCTTCAAGAGTGAGCCACGAATCTTCAAGTGTGAGCCACGGATCGTCATGTGCGCGTCATGGATTTTCAAATGTGAGCCACGAATCGGCAAGTGTGAGCCATAGATCTTCAAGTGGCAGGCGCGGATCTTCCAGTTCCTTGGTGTTTTAAGGATCGATGCCGCACTTAGGAAATCAGAGCATATAAAGACATCCGCACGGTACAGGTGTATGCACCGCCTGAAAATCGCATGATATCCTCCGCACTGTCGGACCTACAGGTGCGCCAGGCGCGGCTGGCAAGGAACATGACATGAGGCATGCCACTTTTTCCCAAAGCGGCCTCTTAAAAGGAGCGCCGCGGCAACAGCCCTGCACGCTGGTCACTATGTCCAATCTCATCAAAATATTTCCGCTTCTTCTGTCCCTCCAATAACTGTCAGTAGATGAGCAAGATTATGTTTCGTAGATTTTGTCGATTGGAATTACCAGGCCCGGTCGGACCCATAGCCAATCAGTTTCAGTGTAGTTCTGGACGGATTCAGCGGTCTCATTCGTGGATGCTTCAGGTTCGAGATCTGTCAATCAACTGACGTCTTCAGTTTCAGTCTCTAGCTCTCCTGACCGTCCCAAGGTCTGTTTTGGCTGATCATATTTAGGAGCTCTATATCGTCCTGGATCCGATAAATTGCATGCAATCGTCGCAAAAGAAGAGAAGGTCTCTTTAAAACAACATTATTTTGCGAACAAGCAGAAAATTCCAATTGCTCATCTTTCACAAGTGTCACTGATCTCTGCGTCCGTCGGGTCCTCTTGTCCGCCTCCTGGTCAGCAATTTCATCAGACGCCGGCCACAACCACTTCTGAGCTGCTGATCGTATATTGGCCCTCCCGCATTGTCGGGACTTTTTGCAGGCGTCTCCTGCGGCTATATAGCGATTTTGAAGTCTCCGTTTACTCAACTACTATTCACAAATTTGAGATCCATCAATGCCTGGAGTGCCTTGACTGTTTTGGACCATAGACATTGGAGTATCGGTACCACTTTAACGTCTTCAAGATCTCGTTTATCATTTAAAGGTCTTATGAATGTCTCGTAAAGATTAAAAGTCTCTTCGACCGCACAGAAACACCGTTACTGTCCAGGCCTTCTCGCGTCGAGAGGGCCATGACAATCTTAAGATCTTGGACTCTCATACAGCCATGATGAATTTGGGCTCCCTTGACCGCTTTGAGACCGCTTATTAGTTCAGACCCTTCGTTATTTACGACCGCCTGATGGTTTCGGCTGCACTTCGGCCATCGTTGGACCCTAGGAAGCACACAGGAGCATAAGGGAAATTTTGGTATCCTGAATCAGTTGGTTATATCAGCACCCCATGATAATATCGATACTCCGCGGCGTAAACGCCTATAAATGGGGCTTGTTTTATACTATATCGGCACCGCTCAGCCTTCGGGGATCTCGTGAGCTCCAATCCATTCCCTGGTCACCTCATTCGATCAGGGCTTTTCCAAAGAAAATTGTTTGCGGTCGCTTTCGCCATAAGGGTGCCAATTCTTCAACTGCGTAATCCCGAACGTCCACTCGGCGATACATCCGTATGCACCTCACCCCCCTAATTCCTTTGCATTGTCTTTACAATTCACTTTCATTCCTTCATTTCTCCACATTTAACAGCTTCCACATAGCAGCAAAGGCGCCGCAGTAGCGACAAAAAGGCACCCCCGTAAGCACGCGAATGCAAAAAGCAAGTCTTGAGGTGAATTACACTTAGGCGTTGTGGAGCTGCCGGACCGCAAGAATAAACTAAGCATTAATATTGTTTTCTCACTCACAAGAAATCCTTTACTCTTCTTTTAGGCTCATCATGGGTCGTTCGTCAAAGGATAAGCGTGACATCTACTACAGATTGGCAAAGGAGGAAGGCTGGAGAGCGCGAAGTGCATTTAAGCTCCTTCAGATTGATGAAGAATTCAACATTTTCAATGGTAATGATGGTTTTCACAGGCATTTACTTAATCCTCTGTTTCATGCTAATGTTGAGAATGTTGTTCACTATACAAATTTGTGACAAGCTGATACTAATATCTTACATTGGGTCATCACATTCAATGCTGCTGATGTTGGGGCGCACAAAGTGCTAAGTTAGCTATATTTGAAAGACTTATGGGACTTTTTTAGCGTGCTATATTTATTATGAATTGATATTCTAGCATTATAATGTAAAACTGATCATGCAGTATGATTTTTTGTGCACATGCAAAAGATACAATATAACAGCAGCAAACGGTCAAGGTTTGTGCATGACGGATCTGGGCCACCATGTATGATCCAAGACATGTACCTTTCCTCCACATTGTGTCAGAGTGAAAATTTGAGTGGTGCTGGCTGCATATACCAAGATATGGATCAAATGCACAATGCAATTAATGTAGAGAAGGGATTATAAATTACTTATGTAGAGAAGTAATTATAAACAATAGAATAGATGTGACCACAGGTATTTGGCAGTTATCAAGTCAATGCATGTAAATACTGTGGCATGTACTGCAATCCAAACTATATTCTTATACAGCTATCAAAGCAGTTGATTTGAGATCTGCAAAAATTTGGGGAATCTTTTATGATGCCAATGCTTCATGACATCCTGGTAGCTTCTAACAGAAGGCCAATCTGCAAAAAATTAACCTCTGCACTGGCCCCATACACAGCATTGGTGCACTAAATGATGTGCTTGCATGCATGAAACTTGGTTAAGGCCAAGTTACACAGAGTTTTCGCAGCACTTTTTGATAAAAAATGTGTTATGGGATATCTTGCTTGTGATTGCCTTTGCAGCATTTATATTTGCTTGTATTTGTTTACTCAAATACCACCCACCAGGTGGCTTTTCTGCTGTTCAGTTTGTTTCACGTTTGCTAGCTTTGGTGCATTGCCCACTCATTACAACATATTACAAACAAAAAACTATAAAAGTTGATGCTATAAAACATACTACAAAATATGATATAAATGATATTAGACTTTACTATATAATGCTATCAAATGCAATGAGATAACATACAGTAAGAAATGCAACAAATGTTCAGTAATGTATTGTAATGTAATATAATGTTGTAATACAATAAATGTGGTAAATTTACTACAGAAGCTGCCAAACCCAGCATGCACACAAAGAAGAAATGAATTGTAATTAAATGGGATCCACATCAACTCACAAAGATAACACACATACATACATATGGCATACAATCACACAAGCAATCAAGGCACATGACTAAACAGTTGCATTTTGAAATTTGAGTTTTTAATCCTTCAGAAGTCACATATGAAGACATAGTGGTGGTTGGAGGTAGTCGGTTGTAAATTGCTGCCGCACAGAAAGGCTTGCTTGGTGGCTTCCAATGGGCACCTGGGTGGGGGGGGGAGGGGGGAGGAGATGCGTTGACGTGGAGGAGTGCGCCTCCCTTAGTTAAATGGAGGAACTTGGCAAAGAGATCAGACTGCCAGGGGCCGTTCTTTGCATCTTAGGGCTTAGAATACTTTCAGTTTGTCCCTCTTTTCCACCAAATCATCAATCCCGGGCCAGCGTAGAGATTGCAGAGTCGGTGTTATATTTTGGTTGCGTTTCATGCCAGAGGCAATGCTGGCGGCAAAGTTTATAACTTTTTGAATGCTCTGCGCCCGGCATTTGTGCTAAAGTCGTTATCATGATGGTGCTGCACCGAGCATGTTCTACATAGCATGCGTTTTTTCAGTTTGAATTTTTACAAAATTTAATGGGTTTTCATTTCTGCATGAAACAGCTTCATCTGAAGATAAAATACTGATGCAAGACAATGCTTGCAGTGGTACTGAATTTGGACTGGATGCATTCAACAATTATCAATATGGCATAAAGTTGTGATTAAACATCTGGCATACCTGTGTGATTTGTGAATTATGGCTGTGGCATGCTTTTGATTATCCCACTTTGTGCCATTTCAGGTGTGACACGTGTTGTTGATCTGTGTGCTGCACCTGGCAGTTGGAGTCAAGTTCTGTCAAGAAAACTGACGTGAGTTTGGCTTCTGCCTGAGATTTGACAGGTTAATGCCAATCTAAACCAGGAAAGCTAGGAACACATTTACATGCAATGGATGTCCCATAGGCTTACAAAAATTTGGGGATGATGTCACAAGCTGAAGAGGTATCTTAAAAAAAACTGGGGCTGCATCACCCCCTCCCTATCCCATCAGCAGCTCAGGACGAGGGTTAAATGGCCTAGATCCGGGGAAAATAAGGTTTGCGGGCAGGTTGTGTCAACCTTAATGACTGTGCCCTCCCTAACTGATTTGTAAAGTGGCGCCTCCAGTTAAGTTGCATAAATGCGTGTATTGCTAACCAAATCCGATGTGTAGTTATACTTAAGAGCTTATTTTCCAAAGCACTTGTTTTCTAGTATCTCAAATATGGCGCATAACCTGTGCTTCTTTTCCCCGCGCCAATATCTGTCACACACCATATCCCACTGCCAGTGCAGATGTGGACGAGTCACAGCCATTTCGTGACTCCCGTTCCACAGAAATGACGGCCAGTCCTGTGACGGAGTCAAGATCGTGGCCGTGGACCTGCAGGCGATGGCTCCGCTGCCGGGCGTGGTGCAGATCCAGGGCGACATCACCAAGCAGTCGACGGCCGAGGAGATCATCACGCAGCTGGACGGACAGCAGGCGCAGCTGGTGGTCTGCGACGGCGCGCCCGATGTCACTGGCCTGCACGACCTCGACGAGTACATCCAGGTGTGTGTGTGTGGGGGGGGGGGGGGGGGGGGGCAGCGCCCCGCCAGCGGCGCACGGAACGCGGCCTGGTTCCGGCCAAACGCGTTAGCGTCCGTGATATGAGCAGTGTGCATGCATGATGCGCGTCACAGGCAGAGAAAAAGTTGCAACAATGTCCTGAGCAACTTCTGATAGCGGCGCTGTGTGAACGTGACAGTTCAGTCATTGGTTGCCTGGGCGGGGGGGGGGGGGGGGGGACTTCCGTGGACAGTTGGCTTAGGCTTCATGATAGATGGTAAGGCACTGTGGCCATGTTCGTATTCTGTCAGGTCCAGCAACACCGGTTCGGAGCATGCCATTGCTGACTGGGCTTTGGTGACCTGGTGCAGGCGCAGCTGCTGCTGGCTGCGCTCAACATCACCACCCACGTGCTGACGCCGGGCGGCACCTTCGTGGCGAAGATATTCCGCGGCAAGGACGTGACGCTGCTGTACTCTCAGCTAAAGGTGTTCTTCCGACGCGTCACTGTTAGCAAGCCACGCAGCTCGCGCAACTCCAGCATAGGTGCGTGAGGAGGCGTGTCCGTGCACGCGTATGGACGCAATGGTGATGGCTGTCTCCCCTCCCCCCCCCCCTCCCCACCACCACCACCACCAATTATGGGTCTGGAATAAAGATGGGTTAAGATGACGGAAGGCAAGTCATGTATGTGAAGCGTGCACTTGTGTAGAATTTGGTTATTCTTCGTCTGTAGTCGGTGGCCCACGACCAAAATGTAGCAAGTCAGCAGCATTATGGTCTTAACGAAGCTGCATTGCCCCGATTCCGGCCTTCTGCTTGTCGTCTTCTGCCAAGCATTTTATTTTCTCAGTATTGCTGCTACATTTATGTCAGTGCTATATGTGCCGTGCCAAGCTCACAAGATTAGCAGCTCACGCCAGTTGTGGCGACTGGGCCGTCAAAACATTGTCCATGTGCGCGGCTTGGGCACGCCTTTCATGGTCCAAAACTCAGTACTGGACCGCCGTTCCGCAGAGTCGTTCGTTGTCTGCGAGGACTACCGGCCGCCCGAGGGGTACGTGCCGAACCTGACCAACCCGCTGCTGGACCACCAGTACTCGGACCTGGAGGGGCTCACCGGGCCTAACCGGATCATCGTGCCGTTCATGGCCTGCGGTGACCTCTCCGGCTACGACGCCGATCTCACCTATCCACTCAAGGTCAGCATCACGGCAAGGAGTCACCAATTGCGCACGCGTGCGTGTGTCTGTGTGTGTATGCCTGCGCGTGCGTGTGCGCGTGCGCGTGTATATCGCGCATGGATGGGATGTGTCTTACAGCGTGCGTAGGTATACTATGCGCGTCGTACTTGACGCACTGTATTAAGAAGCAAGATTGTGGTTCAGACTTGACGGGACCGCACGTTGCTGCACTGTTGTTGCGGAAACTTACGTTATTATGTGCGTGAGCCTTTGCTGTGGAAACTGCCGCACGCTGTCTGTTGGCACGGTCCCACCTAGCCGGCGCACAGTTACCTGCTGTACGCATTCAACACAGAAAACACATCTGATCAGCTCTCAGACAGCGCAGTGTGTGATGATTGGACCGGGTCCGATGAGCGCTGTGCCTGCTGGATTGTTTGGTGGGTGCGATGTCTGGCGTGTGTGCTCGGCGGACCGGCGGGCCGCGGCCGTGACCTGTGTGAGATGCCGACGACGCCCCGTGTCGCCTCCAGCTCAGCGAGGATGCCGAGTACGAGTACCGCGAGCCGACCCAGCCGCCCATCAACCCGCCCTACCGGGACGCCGTCACCAAACGACGTGCCGACGGCCTGGCCAAGCCCGACGGCGATCAGCTGACCAGCTCCGGCGGCGATCAGCTGACTGGACAGGACCAGCTGGCCGGGTCCGACGGCGATCAGACGGTCAAATCCGATGGTGATCAGCGGGCCGAGCCTGTTGGCGACCAGTGAATTAATGTTGCTATCGTGTTATCTTTCTAGAAAATGTCATTGTCGGATCACCGTCGGCCGACGCTGCTCTGCGACTCGGTGTTGAAAAGTCGGTGTCCCGAACAACCGAACCGTGGACTGGGCTACAGCGATGCAGCAGAAGTCGTGAGCGTTGAGCCTCGCCGTAGAATGTGCCCCAGGCGCGGTTCCGTTGCTGAAGGCACGAGGCGAGTTACAGCGGTCTCCTCTTACCGGGTTTCATGTATATGTGCATTGTGTTGCGATCTATCAGCAGTATGTGTAAAGATGGCAGTGCGCGAAATATGTCTTTGGTAGGATTATGCTGTGTCCGTGACGTGGGGGACTCATTGAACTTGAATCGATTAACTTTTATGCATAAACGCATCTGCTCGTATTTTCTTTGGTGATGTGATGAAATGCTTGTGATGAGCGACGCATGCGTCAGGTCAGGAACCGTTCGCGACGTCGTGCAATGACTTACGTCTATTCCTTCACCCATTTCCAATGACCTGCGCAAGGGTGATCGTCACGTCGTAGCCAGTGGGCACTACCCCACCCGACTGTGGGGAGAGCGAACGCAGCCTGAGAGTGGAACGCGACCCTGCTGACATGAGACTGAGGCTACCACCAGGAAGATGAACATTTCAGCGGAGGCTATTACCGTCCAGTTCACCAGCCATCCAGCGCGCCAGCCCATCATTTGCTATTGACAATCTGATGGCTAAACTAGAACCCTGTCGTGTGCTGCTCCTGGAGACCTCACAAGGCCACAGGTCCGGATGACGAATACAACGTTTACAGTCAACGGTGGCAGATATATTCACATAACCTTTTATGTCATGGAAACTATCTCCTCTTGCCACTCATAAAAACACGACGTCACAGATGTCGGAATGTCATCTTGGCATCCTATAACTTGTAAGAATCGCATAACCTGGGACATCCAATTCACAATATCCACCAGCTGGAAGCTCAGAGCTTTGCATTTCCCTGGGCGGTACCAGCATCTGGTCACGATAGATATGCTTAACTTGTGTGCACCTGAATCATTCACATGTTTCCAAATGTCAAAGCACTTGCACCAGGATACTCCCATTTACAGAGTGACATGTCCACAGCACTCTTTAAATCCATACACTAATCACCTTTTGGTCACTGACATGCCAAATCACATGAATCTGCCCAGGGCACGGGACTTCTCCAGCTGATGCAGCAGCGAATAGAACTGGGTGACAGAGAGTTGGAGTTTTTTCACCGTCGCCTGCCCGCTGGGCGTCACCAGGTGCAGATCGAGCCAGACGAACGTCCTGCCGACTCGCGCCGCGTCGCTGCTCGCCGCAGTCACGCCAAAGCTCCACTGCACGTCAACAAACTCGTCAAATGAACACACCATGTCCTCGTCAAGAGCGGCGTCCAAGCTCAGTGGGACTTCACTTTCCACCTCCTCAACTGGTTTGGGTTCAAGAGGGTGATCATCCGGCTCTGTGCTTCTCCCAACAATTTTTTCTTCAGGTGTTGGATCTGGCTGGTGGACATATTTGGTCCAAAGTCTGATGATTACCATGGTTATTTGCTCAGAAATCTTTAGTCTCTCCAGGTCACTCTGGACCTGTTTAGATGATAATCCTGCTCTGAAGAATGCTTTCAGCATGCTCAGCAGGGCTTTAGCCAATGTCTGCGCACTACTTGGCTCAATATCTGCCATGGAAGCAAAGTTGTTAACTTCTTCTGCCATGATTTCTTTATTAACCCCCTCTGTCCCTGTCAGGTACTTGAGCATGCTTGCTGTGATGTGACTGGCAGGCTGCTGTGGTATGGTGTTCAACTGTTGCAGACCATCTTTAACAGACTGTGGCACTTCTACATGACTGGGCTGTGTTGCCATGGCTTCCTGGCAGCTAGGAGCTGATCCACTCAGCTTCTGGAATATGTGCAAAATGAGTTACATACTTGCATAACAAATGTTTAAGGTATGTACACAAACCACTCGTCTTACCCATCATCCTCATGAGTACTGTTAGTGTTGTAACACCTCCACACTCTACCATTTAGCTATATTTATGCATCAAAACTACTAAAATTTTTTGTTTACAGGACGTCCAAGACGCTCTAAACTGTGTCTGAGAAGGCAAACAAACTTCATTTGAGTTGTGACTGCAAAACTAGCTACTAATAGAGGACCACAGAAACAGAAAAGAAAGAAAACAGAACAGAAAAGGGTAATTGATGTTTAAATTACAGCGGCTTTTTCATAGCCTATCAGTGAAATGTTGAAAATGCACATAGACGGGTGACAAGCGGGCGCAACTGACGGCACCCTGGAGTAAGCTCCGCACTTCTTTACAGGGAACCTTACCCGTGAATGCCTCACTGTTCACCAACCAGCTCGGCTGGCAACGGACGATGCATGTGAAAATATGTGCTGATAAGTAATACTATCTTTCGATGCAGAATGCGTGCTTGAAATTTCAACAATTAGCACAGCATCACATCGCAGCGTGCTGACACACGAATGCCTCCTAGCGTGCCACAACCGCTCAATCGCCTTGCGCTCAGCGCGCCCCTTGAGTGCGCCACATTGCAGGACGTTTTTGATATGGTAGCTATCTTGTAATCTGGAAGCCGATAGTATTTCACGGCAATGAAGAAAAGAAGACGCCTCCCTGCAATAAACGTCAGGGAGGGTGCCACGCAGAGATTCGCCCATGTTGATGGGGGTGACAGCCACTGTGTTTCTTTCCGGTGTACGCCCATAAGAAAATTTTTAATTTTTTAGAAAGTTGGGGCTCAGGCGGTCAACACCTTGCCCACCTTGTTCACAGCCCGCCTGAAAGCGAGATTGCGCTGACGGGGCGCTCTTTCCTCACTAGAATAAGTGTGGTTTTCCACCCTTTCCCCTTCGTAATAGACGTCGACATGCTTCTTTGCAACGTTGGTGATGTTTATTTCCGCTGGTGTTTACGAGACCTTGTGAGAAGTCAACAGACCCCGGTGAACGGGCTTCGACCCAGGGGATGTAAAGATTGGCGCACATTCGCACACCTCTTGCTGGAAAGGTGTTCAGCAAAACTTTAATTTGGGCGCAACATCCTCCGCAGTTGAGGACCATCCGTGGCCGGCCCCGACGTTGAGACCCTGCACTCTGCGTACCCCGGAGCGTGGGGACGGTGCTTCAAATCGGTCAGCTAAACCTTATTCCCAGTCAGTCCTTTCTACACATCACCACTGAGTCACATTGTAGGCTTGCACGGCAACTAGGAGGCCCATAGCTCCGTGCCCCCCCCCCCCCCCCCCTCCCCCTACCCCACATACGACGCTCACACCAGTTTTAAGGCCTATGTCTCGGCCGTTTGAGTCGGCCCAGTTTGCGGAATGGTGAAATCTCACGTCCTGTCCACATTCTAAGCGGACACCGTGTTTGGGGGCACCCTCTAAGCCCATATCTCGGGCCGCCTGTGTCGGCTCACGTCCGGTCCAGATTCTAAACGGACGTCCGTGTTTGAGGCTGCCGTCTGGGCAGCCAGGCTAGCACACACACAATACAAATTTAGGACAGACATGGTGCTCATTGACGATTGGCCCAGAAGCGCGGCCGCACACGGAGAGCGCGCTCGTCCGGGTCTGATGTTCTGAGCGACGCCGAGATGCCTTCACACTAGTGTGGAAGCCATTTTGAGAAAACAGCGCAAATCGAGCTGCTTGCAACTGACCATACTACCATAGACTGTGAACGGTAAAGCCAACGTAGCTTCGCAAAATAAGCTTGGGGGAGAGGAAGAACTGTGAAAAATGACCCAAATTTCCCCCCAAAAATGCCAGCAAACAGGTTTTTGTCAGCATTTGTCCCATTTTCCTCCCAAACTTGATGGTCGAAGCCAAAGTTTGGGTGGGGCTGAAGCCAACCCTCCAACTGAACAGGAAACTACACCCCTGGGCGAAGCTGCATGGAAGAAATAACGCAAGCAGTGAGTCCGTGGTAGGTCTTGAACCTGCCCGTCGCCTCGTTTTCGCACAGAACCGGAGGCTCACCAGCGCCCAGAGTAGCACCCCATCGCCACGAAGAAGCGCCGCTGTCCTCCCTAGCGGGTGGTCCAATTACGGGACGGTGAAGCCATGTCCATGCCCACAGCATGCAGCAGGCGCCACGGCACGCGGGCGCCGTACCCTCCGCCCCGGCCGGAGGGGGTCGCTCTACGCCACGCACCGCCCAATGATGCTATTGGTAGTTCCACATAGCGCATGTCCGCACAAGACAGGTGGTCAACAAACTGGCGTTTATTTATATGGAATCACATTGAGACAAGGCACTCACCTATTTTTGAGCTGCGGCTTATCCAGACATCGGCTGCTTTGGCAAGCGTCATACATTGCTGAATACTTCTTCCAAGCTTCATGATGGCCGTAACAAGGCTTTCCATTTCAACATTTATCAAAAACAAAATATATAATCTTCTGAATATATCACACACCTCATGTAACGTACGCTGAACTAGTCCTCCGACGACGCCCCACCCCAAGACCACTTCACAGGTAACCAAGCAAACCACCGCCCCCGCGTCGTTTCAATCGATTCGGTTCAACCCTCGTACCACCGGCACGCCCACACAGCCGGCGTCTAGCATCCCCACGCCGACGGGCCCGGGCGCGTTAGCATTACTGCCTGCGCCGCGAGCTACGTCCAGCCAGGCTGGCCACTACCAGGTACTTGGGGCGCCGCCGCCAGGGCGGCCACGGCCAGGTCGTGTCACGTGGCCACGCCTACCGCCTGGAACAGCTGATGCAGGTACGGCTGGCGCAGCGGCAGCGTCAGCTTCCGGTCCGCTGGGATCGCAGCGCACTGCGGCGTCAGACAGGGGCGTGACGTCACCGGGGGCGGGCAAAGGTGTGACGTCACCGTGGGCGAGAGGCGTGACGTCATCAGTAGACAGAGGCGTGACATCACCGGGCGGCGGGCAGAGGTGTGACGTCACCGTGGGCGAGAGGCGCGACGTCATCAGTAGACAGAGGCGTGACATCACCGGATAATGGAGTCGTGCAGCTGCCCCGGTACACGACACGTGACGTCAGAGGATCGTCGGGCAGGGGGGGGGGGGGCGTGAGCGGCTGGTCCGGTGGAGGCACATATACGTCACCGATGTCACTGAACCCTTAGATAGCCGTATTTGGCCGCTGCAGCGCACAGGCGGCGGGGCTCACGCTGCTACCTGTGACGTCGCACGGTCTCCAAGAGGTGGTGCGCCCATTTAATCGGCCAAAAAGCTAAGCTCATTGTAAAAGTGCGTGTTCGAATCTTGCCCCAGACATATTTCACACACGGCTAGAGTCAGCGTTGGGGCGACGGGTACGACTCACAGTATCGGTAACATTGGTCCGAGGCGCGTGCCACGTGGCGTCCCATGACTTCCGGAAGCGTCCATGCTGCAGCGGGAATATGTGCCCCTCCGTAGAAAACAGGTACTTCATCGGATTCCGGTTGATATAGTTGTTTTCGTCAAACAGCTGGAATGAGCAAATATCTCAATCACGTGTTCATATTATATATATATATATATATATATATATGTCATATTATTTGCCATATATATATGGTACATATATATATATATATATATATATATATATATATATATATATATATATATGTATGTCTATCTATCTATCTATCTATCTATATACAGGCAACAGGAGTGCTTTTTCAGCCAGCTCCCACCGCGGCACGTACCGTAAATGTTACCACATTATACCTCACGTGAGTTCATGCCTGCTAAATCAACACAGATTGCAAAACTCATCCAAGCTACGAGCCAGAAAGAGGAGCGCGTGTGAGCAGACAACACGCGCATGCGTATCGTGTGTGCCAGCCTCCACACACCGGGCGCCCTGGAGGGAAGACGGCTGTCGTGCGTGCCGGACCGTTCTGGCGCCACTCACCAGGTAGAGGTATTTGCAGGTCTCGCTGAGGAAGAAGCTCTCCATCCTGTCCTCATGCGACTTGTCGATGACGCTGTGCAGCGTGGCGTAGCCGCAGCGGGCGCGCGCGTGCTGGTTCAAGCTCTCCACCAGCTCCCGACCGACGTGCAGATAGAACGGGTTTTTGGTGGCCTGGGGCGCGCCGTGGGTGTTAACAGGTGCGGGGGAGTCCTGCTATACTCCGCGAAGCGTGAACATCGCGACCACCGGGAGGACCGGTCCGTGACAGTGCAGCCACCCAGGTGTGAGGCGTGTTGGACGCTTAACGGGCTATAGGGAACGGCATTCTGACAGATTGCAAAACATTTCCAATCTCATGTCTCCCATAAACAGCAGCGATCAACTGGCCATCTGACGTGCAAGCTTCCGTCCGTCTCGGTAGCCCAGTCGGCTGAAGCACCCGTTTCCGGTCGGCCCCAACCGTACCGGAGGGATTCCAGTAGTTGCAGTCATTTTAAGCAACTGCTATATGCCCCCGACTGGGATGATCTTTGGCCCGGTGGCAGCAGTCGGGCAATAGGTCAGCTGACGTCACAGGGTGAAGAGACCGCGTTGGACATTGCAGCACGTTAACCTCTCGCCACAAAGTTCCCGCTTAACATGAAATTTCACGACCGCAAGTGGGGCCAGGACTCACGCAACAAGAGCTGCTTGGTGTGGGTTCTAATCTCGGAAATCCATGAACTGCAAGAGGTTCGGGATTAATCTCGCACAAAAATACGAATATAACACTAGCCACCGATAGCCATGCGCCGCTGGAGTCAGGCGTGCGTTCGTGGATGACCTGGCGGCCGTGTGCGCACGTGCCTGGTACAGAAAGTAGGTACTCTCGGCCAGCTCGGGCCGCAGCGGGTAGAACAGCACGTCCGGCTGGCTCCTCTGCCAGTTGAAGCGCTCCGGCAGCGCGCCGTAGCTGAAAACCGCGGCACGCTCAAGGTCACGGCACGAAGCGCAAGCCTCTGGCCCCGCGGCGACCAGCCGCGGGTCGCGGCGGCCGGCGACGGTGGCCAAGGCGGCCCGCCGCCGGCGCCGGGCCGCAGCCGGGGCTGGGGCTCACTCGGACACCGATAGCGAAAGTGTCGGCGGCATCACAGCCTCTTTACGCGGCGGCCGGCGACGGTGGCCGAGGTGGCCCGCCGCCGGCGCCGGGCCGCGGCCGGGGCTGGGGCTCACTCGGACACCGATAGCGAAAGTGTCGGCGGCAGCACAGCACTCTTCACGCGGCGGCCGGTGACCGTGCGACATGGACATGCGCGAAACCTACACCAACTGCATGTTCTCCAACGACACAGACTGACATCCAGTGGGGCTAGTGACTCCATCCAGTGACTCGAGCACTGCAGCAGCACTGCTAGAGACCGGGACGCCGCAGTCGACTACCCCTCATCTGGAGTCCGGCCAACGCCTCCGGCGGTGCAGCGGACTCACCGCTTCCAGATGGCGTAGAAGAGGGCGTGGTGGCAGATGGCCTCCTCCACGTCGCCGGCCAGCAGCTGGACGGCCGGGAAGGCCGCCTGCAGGCTGTCCACCCAGCCCGTCATCGTGTTGCCGTTGGTCATGTCCACGTTGACGTACATCGGGTGGTCGCCGACGCCGCTGTTGCAGCGGGACCTCCTGGCGGCACACGCAGGCGGAGGCGGTGTGCCGACGGCACTCCCAAACCGCGCACATCTCGCGACACGTCTGCACTGAGCTTAGCTTGCTGACGGTATTGACGACGTGACCCGAACGGAACGAGACTGGCCTCGTGAGCATTCTCGACTTGACAGCATGTCAAGCTGGTGTGTCATGGCAAAAAACCGTTTCGCGTTCACACACCATGAAACACATGGAAGGTTACATCTGCTAATGACGAGTCATGGCGAGCCCAGACTTCCCATGGTACAGTGATCTCCAGCATCTTGGCAGCATGCTGGACACATACTATGTCATATTCAGGACAATTTACAACCTACAGCATTTATCACTTATTAATACTAACACCCATGGCATCATCTGCAGGCATCCATCCAACAAACTTGCAGGCATCCATCAATCGGACAGCGTCCAGTGCATCATATTAGAATCCTTTTCCGTCGACCGCGTGACCAGTTTGAAGTCTAGAGGAGTCTCGATAATAGCTAAGGCAATTAGCAGGTGGCGCATGTTTTGAATGGTCAGTGGTCTGCGAGCATCTGCGAACGGCATACCAGTGCTGAGACCTAACAGGGGATACAACATAGCTTTCGTTTTGAAAAGAACAACACTAAAACAAAAACCCCAGCTAGCTTGGATCGCAGCATGCGCCGATATTGCGGTACTTCTAGGTTGTGGAAGAATGGTATACGGCAGCAAATTTGGCCTCTTTCGAGCATTACGCCGCAAGATCCGCTCCCGAGATACCATGCGTTATCTATGGCACGTTATCTCATAGCAGCTGAAGTGATGCCCGATTTATCTGGAATTGGAGCCGGGAAATCAGTCAATCAGCCACACATACAACACCGAGAGAGCCAGGCTCAACGCATCAGGCCTGTAGTCAATGGGGGAGCATGTCCCCTCCCCCGAGTCATGTGCTGCTACACACCAGATACTGCACTGCTGAACTACAGTCCGGTACATATACTGCACTGCTCAACTGCAGTTCGGTACATATACTGCACTGCTCAACTGCAGTCCGGTATATATAATGCACTGCTCAACTGCAGTCCGGTACATATAATGACATGCTCAACTGCAGTCCGGTACATATACTGCACTACCCAACTGCAGTCCGGTACATATACTGCACTACCCAACTGCAGTCCGGTACATATACTGCACTGCTCAACTGCAGCCCGGTACATATGCTGCACTGCTCAACTGCAGTCCGGTTCATGTTCTCAGTAGTTCGGGCAACATTTGACATCTACTCTTCCCTCCCTGCGGGGAATATTTGCTCCCCGCCCTGCACCACAGCACACCAAAACTCACCCCTTCCGCATGAAAATTTTGATTTTCTCGTAGATCTCGTTAAAGCGGCTGTAATCTTCCGCGTCGCCAAACATGATGAACGCCTTGAGGAGATACTCGTAGAAGGAGTCCATGCCGGCGCCGAGCCCGGAAAGTTTGCTGGTCCAGCGCCCGCTGTCCACGTTCACCGTGTTACCTGAGGCAGAGGTGATCGGCCAGGTCTGGGTGCACCACCGATCAGAGCACCATGTCAATTGTCAGAGCCGATGGCATGCACGCAAGCTTTGTTCCAGGACGATTTTCAGTTGTGGTGTGCCTCGTGATTTAGTGTTTGGTGCCATGCATATGGTATATTAAAAGCACCGATGGCTAACCTTGGCGCCGGTCCCAGTAATTCTCAGCTCATCTGGCATCTAGGTGCACCGCCATCAAATCCCTACCCCAACCTGACCCGTACTTCTACCTTTACAAAGGTTTGACTCCGATTTCCAGATCTAATGACGTCTCAAAGAACTCCACCTTACAAGAAGATTGTATCACGGATCCTGAGGCCAACCGCCCACAGACTCCCTCCCACCGCCCAGCCACACAACCACACAACCACTGATCACACAACTGCCCACTCAGGCCCAGTGACTCCCCGGCGGACATTCCGGTCCACCAACACAAACCTCGATCCCGGCCCCGGCGCGCCCGCCGATCTATCGACGCAGGACAGTGAGCTGACCTGTAGACCGGTGACCTGTGACCTCAGGCCCCAGAGGATGTCGACGGCGCGGCGAGCGCGCATCTCATACACGGGGTCACCCAGCAGACGGCTGAGCAGGCCGAACTCCAGCACCAGCGAGCCGGCGCCGGATGAGCAGGTCTCGCGCACCCCGTCAACGGGCACGCCCAGCCTGGCGGCGTGGATCACGTCAGTTCGGCCCGCACCCGGCCACCCCCGTGCGGGCAACCGGAGGCTAATGCGGTCATTGCTTGGCAAGTTCGTCTCATGGGGATCTCGCGATGCAAGAAAGCGTCACGTGAGTATTGGCTACGCCAGAGTGCGGGCGGCTGGTACCTGAGGACAGGCGGTTGGTACCCGAGGATAGGCGGCTGGTACCTGAGGACAGGCGGTTGGTACCTGAGGATAGGCGGCTGGTACCTGAGGACAGGCGGCTAGTATCTGAGGACGGGCGGCTGGCACTGAATGACGGGCGGTTGGTACCGGAGGACGGGCGGCTGGTACCCGTGGACGGGTGGCTGGTACCTGAGGGCGGGCAGCTAGTACTCGAGGATCGCCGGCTGGTGCCGGAAAACGGGCAGCTGATACCCGGGGACGGGCAGCTAGTACCTGAGGCTGATCCTGGGGTGCGGCAGCCCGGTGCCTGTCTCCTCGAAGGCGGGCAGCAGGCGGGAGGCCAGGTCATGCGCCAGCTCCAGCAGCTCGCCGTCGTACCAGCCCGGGTCCAGGTCCCCGAACGGCTTCTCCGGGTCGACGATCAGCAGGTGCGCCGACAGTAGCGCGCCCAGCACCCTGCATAGTCGGACCAAATGCGCCACTCCGAATACAGGCGCGATGAGCACAAGACTGCATGTGCCGGCGGTTGTGCAGGCCAACGGCTTACGCGACGGCGTTCACGCTCGGCTACTGGCCTTCGTCTCAAACACGGAACGTCGTGCGTCCAGTCGCGTAATCGTATCGTATGAACGTCGTGCGTCCAGTCGCGCAATCGAACCGTATGAACATCGTGCGTCCAGTCACGCAATCGTACCGCACGAATGTCGTGCGTCCAGTAGCGTAATCGCATCGTATGAACGTCGTGCGTCCAGTCGCGTAATCGTACCGTATGAACGTCGTGTGTCCAGTCGCGTAATCGTACCGTATGAACGTCGTGCGTCCAGTCGCGTAATCGCACCGTATGAACGTCGTGCGTCCAATCACGTAATCGCACCGTATAAACGTCGTGCGTCGAGTCGCGTGATCGTACCGTATGAACGTCGTGCGTCCAGTCGCGTAATCGCACCGCATGAACGTCGTGCGTTGAGTCGCGTAATCGTACCGTATGTTTGACTCGAACACTTGCACGGTCGAGTTCTTGTGGAATGAGAGGTTTTTGATGACCAGCTGCGCGGCCCGGCGGAACTCTGAAGCGTTGCCGATCACCGCCAGCGTGTCCAAGGCGTCCACCAGCGTCAGCGAGAAGTCACCCAGCACATCGTTTATGTTCAAGTTGGAACTGGAATTGAGAAATACGTTCCAACTGACTGGGCCACATATTACAGGCGTTGACATGCTGTGTGTCACTTGATGTCAGCTGGGAAAATTGTATTTCGTGAACGTAATTCCGTTTCGTAATTGTATCTTGTGAACAGTCAGCTCTGCACACACACACAGACACACTTCTGAAACGACAGCTTCCTCGTTTAGGCATTTCTTACTGGTCACTTGTGTGATGTACTTACGGATTCTCGACGTCTGGGCCTCTCCCATTGCAGTCAATGGGATTGAGTTCATCCTCAGGATATGCATATTTCATGTAGTTGTCATACCCAAAATAAAACATTTTGCGAGTTTCTTCTTGCATCTGGCTTTTTACATCTTCATGGAAGTGCATGTAGTTAGAAGTGCTCTGTGACACTGAGACTGCACTCTCAAACAAGCCTTTTGAACTCATGAGTGATTGGCTCAAGTCCAACATTGATCTAAACAGCTGTGATGGGCTTTTCACTGCCAATGTCTCTCCAGTTTTGGAAAGAGACATAATGGCCAAGACTATGACCAATATGGCATGTCTTATGCACTTGCATCTACCAAAATGCATAAAATGAAGGCCATACACCAATGGCCTTTTTCTTGATGTTTCATGCTGATATTTTTTCTGCATGGCTGTGTATTCCAACCTGTTGTTGATTTAATACATGACCTGAAAAATTTCCTGCAACACAAAGACACATGGATTAATCAGAGTGAAGCATATGAACTGGTTGCACTAGCATAAAAAACTGTGACAAATTACAGAGAATTGGTAAATATGATGCAACATTGTAGTGTTGGGGTTTGCAGTGCATCCTGTGAAAGTTTCCTGGGCAAAATAACAGCTGAATTAACAAATTAAATTGACCTAGGGTCAGGTATGAAGGGCACATGAAGGCCAAAACCAACCTAGTTTATTACTCTAGAGCTTGTTGTATGAGGTGGTTTATGGCACTCATTTTGAATTTAATAACAACAGGCACCACATTATAAATCTTCCATGGGCAGACCTCAATGTCAGAAAACTTCCCTGACCTCAAACAGCCATGTCAACATTTCCTCCTAGGAACATACTGCCTGGGGTACTACTTGATATTTGCACAAATGCAAAAATCACAGCACCATTGACCTGTTGCTGAGAGCAGGGTCTAGGTTCACCATGGTTGCATGAGATGATCTGAGGGCATTTAGGACATTTATCTGGAGTTTGACCATTTTGACCTCTTTTGACCTAATGATCATGACCTAAGAACCTCAAGTTTTAACACAAATGAGTTCAGACACAGACCAACATGTCCTATAAATTTATTTCTCTAGCTCTCTTCATTACTGAGATCTAATGGGTATAAAACTGCCCGCCCACCCCCCCCCCCCACACCCAGGCAAAGGGTATTTAACCAGCCACCTAGGCATTTGCTAACATGCTTCAACAAGTCCCTATATAAAATATGCCTCACACAATGCACAGATTGACCTTTTCATCAATCTATTTTAGATTGACTGATGATGATGATGATGATAATGATGATGATGAGATATTAGATTATATTTATCAATAGATTGCATAATTAAGTTTGAACTCAGATTATCATCTAAAAAGAGCTCACTGTATATACCACTGAACCAACATGAACCTAGCTAACATAGCCAACTTGAGTTACTAAACTTAGCATGTTTTTGCACCAGCAATTTATGCAGATGGACACAGATGCATAACACAAAATGTGTTGCACAGTCACCCTGGGCTTGGACTGATCCTTTTTGGTCAGTCCCCAGTCTAATTTTCTATGTTGTTTGGCTCCAGTAATGCACATGGAACTCGCCATCAGCACCTTTCAACAGAGCCAAAAATGTTTCCCTTAGGTCACAAATGCATCAAAATGGTAGCTAGCATAACTGCCATCCAGTAAATGACATCAAAGCATGCTGAAGCAATTAGCATGTAATAACTGCTGTCAGGCAGGCACCTCATTCTGTTTTTTTACATGAGGGAAAGATGTACAATAAGTCATCAAAAAATTGCTAATATTTTCTCCACAGTAAAGAGATATGGGGCCTTTCCAAACTCAGGCCTGGCAGGAAACAATTATGTTAACATTCATACTAGCATTGCCAAGAACGTAGCGATGGTTAAAAGCGACCATAATACCGACTGTCTTAGACATGCTGTTTGCTATTTCGCTACCCACACACCCCAGTTTAGCGCTACGTGCCCCGCCAGCGTCAGTGCGTCGTATTCGAAGCAGGTCTTGCATAAATGACGACAGACGGACCCAATCAACAGCTGACAAAGCTGACGTGCAACGAATGATGTACGGGAAATTTTAGTTCTAGGAAGATTAAGTTGCTTGGCAGGTGTGCTCATTTAAGAAGAAACCACATGCATGTAATTTAAAACTGGCATTTCATCCATGAAATATCACCATTCAATATTTAACATTCAAGGCCCCCAATTAAGTCGTCATTGCCATGGCAACGAGATTGCATCGGCGACGCGGTTGTGTCCTGTGCACGTTTTCCGTTGGTGATATTGGTCCGCCCGTGGAGACCGAGTGGATATAAGTGGAAAATCCCGCGAATCTGCTAAACCGTCGACAACGCCAACGAACGAAACTGGATTTGTTGATCCATCTTGTTGCAGTTGGCGCCCTCAGTGAGCTGCTCCCTGCGCCCGCATACATTTTCGGCTCTCGGTTAAGTACGGGATGGTGCGACACGAGCTTGACGGGGTATAGACACACGGAAAATGTCGTGCCGCAAAGCAGAAAATATTTGCAATCTTATCCCACAAAAACCGCCGCCGCCACCAAAGTTACTGAAACACGTTTCAAAATTCCACGGGCAGACAAAACAAGAAATTATTGACAGCCAGAGGCCCCATGCACATTTCGGCTACCAGCATTACAAAGCTCCTGATCCATGTAATTACCTCAGGAAGCAATCGAAAAAACCAATGACATCTCCACCAAAACCTCAAAGACACAGACTGATATCTCTTGCGAAGGTGGATGACCATACTCCCATTTCACTGAAGGAACTCAAGGTTGAGCATAAGGACTTCCTTACCAACAACAAAAAGGAAGCCAAAGAAGCCCAAAACATACATGTTCCTGAACGGAAATATGTTGACACAAAAGGAGGCGATAAGCACACACTAGAGCCATCTGGTCTCAAGCTTAGATACGTGTTCAAAAAGGATTTCGGTACCACCCCAAAGTATTTGTCCAGGCGTGTGATTGAAATGAAGCAGACTAGGGAAGAACGCGAGCGTCAAGCTCAAGAAGCGATTGACTCTCAGAAAGCAAAGCAAGTATCGGAAGAGGAGCGGCAAGAGCTGTTGAAAGGTCTGAAGGAAAACTGGGCCGCCCTGAACAAAGCCTATTCAGCCCAGTCCCTGTGCATCGACAATTTACCGAAGCAGTTCCGAAAAGAAAGCCTTCGAGCGCCAAATGGCGGCGCTAGAGAAGGATATTGATCTCATTGAACGGAACACCGTGATACTGATTGCTAGCCCTAGAGGCCACGCCGAGTGATGCAGGTATCACCTTGTCCCCAGCTGCTTGACGCTTGCTTGTAGCGCATTTGCTCTCTCCTTTAGCCATCTCCGCTGTTAAAGACTGCAAGAGGAAATCGCTAGGCGCGGCACTGGTTAGGCTTTCTCGGGCTTGACAAACCCGCTGCAGCATACGTGTCAGCCCCATCATTGTCAACTGGAGGGCCAAATAAAAAGCCTGCGTTATTTCCTGTTTTATTACAAAAAAACAGACCGTGGGTCAATCCGGCCAAGTACGAATGTCCGTTGTCTACTTTCCGCATACCACAGCTCCATGAGGCTTTGACACCCTAACGCACCTAAAAAACGCATGTCCGCGGCATTCCGGAACGACCATAAAGCCTGACGACACCCTCTGGTCATTTCAACGTGGCCATCGCCAGCCAACAACCGCCAATGTCAGCGTTCGTCCCGGCGCGTCCTTTTTAGATCGCCTGCGCGATTATTTTCCGCTTGGCGTCGTAGCGGAAGTTGTTTGCACTGAACAGGCCACTGGAGAAGAAGGGCTGCATATTGTGGATGTGGATCTGGCGGGCGCGGTCGGCCAGATCCTTCTCGGAGATCTCCACAGTCTCCTGGTCCGTGCCGAACCGGTTGCGCTGATAGGTCGCCTGGTCGTGGATCAGCTGGCGTAGGATGAAGAGCAGCAGCTCGTTGTTGTCGCGTTTGAAGGCCAGGTACCGCGAGAAATTCTGCAGGTCAGAGCATAACAGGCGTGTGAGCTTGCATGGTTGGGATCGCCCCGAATAGGGTAGCCGTCATCACGAATCTTTTGATACTGGTAAGGTTAAGTTAAGACATAAGTGATAAATCATTAAAGCAGACCAATGGGAAAATGCCCGAACGCACGAACTAGCGCACTAACAAATCGTCGACCATTTCGCACGCCATAATCGTCCTCATCGTGCCAGCAGTGCCTGAGAGGCACACACGGCCACTCACCCGCCGCATGCTCCTCATGACGCTGTACTTCTGCGTGTCGATGAAGCTCTCCAGCATGACACGGATGGCCATGTTGACGTCGTCCTCCTGCACGTAGTCGCGCAGACACATCTTGGCTTGCGCCTCGGCCATCCGAATCACAGACTCGATGTGACGCACCGTGATGGGAATGCTGCCCGTCGCCTGCGGGGACGCCAGCCATCTCAAACCACCGAAAGGTGCGAGCTGATGCTGAACATCAGTTTGACGAATGCCACCACCACACTGCAGGACTGGATTGTACTCATTCTCCGACTCAGCTGTCATGAGCTATCGGCGTCGGGGCGGAAGTGAAACGTTCCTATGGCGACATAACTGCTAGCTTCACGACCAATCATCACAAAGGTCCCGCACTGACACAAGTTGTGGATAAGATGTTATGTCGCACTATGTACGATTGTTTGGATCACCATAGGAGAAAAATATGGCTAATGCTTAACTCCATATATGACTGGAAACGACAAAATGGCAAACGGGAACGAAATTCCACCATTTTCGACTACATCATATGACGTACCATGGACTCCCTGCGCAGGTCGCTGTACATCTTTGCAACCTTATCCTGATCCATCTGGTTCAGCTTCGGGTTCACCCGATTTCTGGCATAAGCAATGTACTTCTTCAGCAGGTCCTGTGGGATTTTCTCCAACCCGTCCAGATTTGTACCCGACTGTGGCATGTCCTGTAACACAACAAACCAGAATTGAGCCATTAATGGCTCGCCAGGCGTTTGAGGAATGCCTCTAAAAAAGTGTGCTACGGGGCGGCGCAAGCCACTTCTGTGGAGAGATACTCGACCTATAGACATACTCGGAACGATTCGTGATGCAAATATTGCACTTAATATTAGTTTATCTTCGTACATCCTGAGCCCAAGTAAATGCTAGAACACGGTGGCTATACACCACATTGCAAAACGATCAGTCTGACGACCAACCAATAAAGAAAAGTGACATAACAGCCTCTCACGGTCATTTCACAGAACACGTGTTAAGCTGAGCCAAGCTTAACGGCAATGGTCCGTTCTATGCCGGTTCGGCCCGGGCCCGGGCCCGGGTCCGGGTCCGGGTCCGGGTCCGGGTCCGGGTCCGGGTCCGGGATCCGGATCCGGATCCAGATCCGTCCCGTCCCGTCCCGCCCCGGCCCGGCACGACACTGCCACCGCACCTCTGGCTGCTGCTGCTCCTGCTCGTCCACCGTGTTGAGCGGGTGGTTCTTGACGTGCGAGCCGACCACGAAGCGGGCGAGCCGCTCGTCCTGCACGGCGTCCACCGTGTCGCGCACCACACACAGCACGTCGAACCGTGACAGGATCGGCTCGGTGAGGTCCACCTGCGCCGCGCACGCGTGCTGGTCACGCGCGCTGCCGGGCGCCACGGTCGGGGGGGGGGGGGGGGGGGCAGGGACGGCGGTGACAAGGCGCCGTGTGGCTTGCAACTGGCTTCTAGGGATCGTGCACGGTGCTTGAGACGGATTAGATTCTTACAGGCCCTACCGAACGGACAGAAGCGCAGAAAGCATGGGGTGTGAGCATAACTACTCTAGGCCTGCCGACAACACGAGACATCACTCATCAACACCAAGCTCGTATTTCGCTGTTCCGCACGCATCAGATCAGTGTCGAACGCCCTTCACGCGAGACGAGTGCGCGCTTACGTTATCGGCGAACGTCATGCTCGGGTCGTAGCGGCCGCCGATCGGGTTGGAGGCGGCCACCACCGAGCAGCGCGCCTGCAGTGACGTCACGATTCCCGCCTTGCTGATGGAGATGCTCTGCTGCTCCATCGCCTCGTGGATGGAGGTGCGGTCCTGGTCGCTCATCTGCGCGTGGACGGCGGTCGAGTGAACGGCCCGGCGGCGCCACCGAATCTCACTGTGATGCTCACAATCGGGAGACACGTCTGCTCCTGCATCGGTCCAACGTTCGAGCTGCTATTTTGTGACAAAATACTACGTCTGCTGGTGCTGGCCGTTCTGAATGCGCCCGCCGCAGCTCCAGATAAGATGGCAGCTAAGCAATGTCAAAAATTAACAAGACGGTAACGCAGCGGTAGCGACGAGTAGTTCTGCAACGCAGCCCTCCGATTGGCATCTCTTAAGTCTCCCACGACTTGAATGCAGAGTTCAAGGGCACTGGGGCAGCGTACCTACGAGATCTCTGGAACCAAGCAAACATAAAGGCGCTGCTGGCGCGAGGCTTCATCGCATTTGGAATAAGACTATCCTTGACTATATATATATATATATATATATATATATATATATATATATATATCGCCGATAACGTATAATATATATATATATATTATATATATATATATATATATATATATATATAAGACTATCTGTCCAGACTATCACACTGGTCTGGTGTCAGTAACTACACAGCGTGCTCCAGTCGTCGTCAAGCGTTATTGTTGAGTCCCGGGGGCTGCATGAGATTGGGTTTTCAGTCATGTACGCGCCTCATCTCAAAATTTATCTTTGGAACTGCTGAGATTTCAGCTAGGTCTCCCACTTAACGTCCAGATCTACCACTGCCCTTACTGGGAAGGCCATTAACTAACTCGCGGTGGCAGTCCTTACTGCCAGGACGAAAGGCAGGCGACGCTACAAAGCCTCAACAGCTGAGTGCGTCGTGAAGCCTCAATGACATAGATTAAACTAACTGGACGTTTATCAACCCGTAACGATAACATTTTGTCTCAATCATTGCGTAAAGCTGAGAATTGTTCGCCTGACCCCCAGCGAACGAGTCTCGAGCCGGACGGCCCACCACCGCCCTCCGGTCGCCTCGCACCTTGTCAAACTCGTCGATGAGACAGAAGCCCTTGTCGGCGAGGACGAGCGCGCCGGCCTCCAGCGTCCACTCCCGGGTCACCGGCGACTGCTGCACGTACGCGGTGAGACCTGGCGACGCGGCGGCCGGATCACCGACCCGACGGGCCACACGCAGCAGCGGCCGCAGCCGGTGAGGTGTCAGCACGCGGCCGCGCAGCACTGGGGTGAATTGCGCACGTTTGGCGCCCAAGTGATCACTGGTAGTCCGCGCACCCAGACGGGTGATGTGCACACGAGAAACGGGACAGCAAATCGAAAACTTGGATCATGCACCGGGTTCAAATGTAGTTGTTTCGCGGACTGGTCCGGGATGGCCCACGCGGGGCTCTTGCATACGGAAGCAATGAACTGGTACGAACCGACGGCAGACGCTCCCTGGCCGGTGGTGAATACGGCACGTGGCGCGATCTTCTCCAGATACTTGAGAAACTGGGATTTGGCCGTGCCCGGGTCTCCGCACAGCAGGATGTTCAGGTCACCGCGCACCCTGCAGAGCCCATGATAGGTTTTACGGCGCTCCAACAGCGTTGGCTATTGACGACCTTTTTATACGAGGTTGTGTAAGACCAAGGCTCCTCCGCTAATCACGATGAATGCATGGCTTGTTGCATACGGAGATAAAGCAGGGGTGGATAAGCAAAATGGCGGCCTTCTTCTCAAACATCGAGGGCAAGAAAAATTGTCCTCATCATATTCATCACGCCAGTATAGCACTTACTACAACAGAACAGCAGACGGTGCCCGCCTGAGAGCGCGCGGCAGATCTCCCAGACCACCTACCGGTGCTTCTTGCCGGGGTTTTTGGCCACGCCGCCGAACATGGCGAGCGCCAGCGCGCGCTTGATGTCCTCGTGGCCGTAGATGGAGGGCGCGATGCTGGCCACGAGCCGCTCGGCGATGCGCGGGTCCTTGGAGAGGCTGGTGATGGCGCGCACGTCCTCGTCCGTCAGCGTGCGCGCCAGAGCCGCGTCGTCCTTCTTCAGCTGAACAGGAGTAAAACGGGCGTGAGCGCGGCGCCGCGAGAGGGCCGCACGACAGAGGCAGTCGCCAGTAGGACGGGGCCCACATGCCTGGTCTTCGGAACAGCGTGCTACGCTCAGCTGAGTGATTGGAAGTGGTTGGCTCTCGGGCTTCAGCCCGTAGTTATAATGAGACTAAAATGACACGCGGTTCGCGCAGAAGCGCAACGGGTAGCGGTATATTATGATGCAAGCAGCTACTCCTGAACTGGTCTGTCAGGCCTACAATGGAAGGGTGACATGCTCTTTTACTTTCACCTTTTGTTCATCCTTTGTTCAGGCAGCAACCTACTCATGTCTTGCTCACATCTTTAGCAACCTTTTCATTGTCGGACATTGTTTCCGTCAATAAAGCCGCATCCATGGACTGAGCTATAGCATTCTTATCATGGGTAGATTTGCCAACACTTGACACAAACCTATCACGAACGCTTCATTAAGCGCGTCTGCCTACGCATTCGCATCAGCAGCCATTACGTGGCTTCCACTGGAAGCCTCTTCCAGCTGACCTTCCAGCTTCCAACTCACGATGTGATTGGCCATGATGACCGTGGCGAACACCGGGAATCCCTGTTTGGTGTTGAGACTGCCCTCGTAGCTGTGAGTGTAGACGCCGGTCAGCTCGATCTCGTCGCCAGGCTTGCAGGAGTCGCAGAGGTCGCCTGCCAAATGTCACCATCGATTTGCATTCCCCAGCAGTCATGTTTAGACAGGGGTTGAGATAACCCGAAATGTCAAGAGCGAACTCCGGAATTTCGAGCGCAGTTCACATCGCATGCGACTCGCTGTCGCCGTCGACGTTGTTATCGCTCAGCCGCCAGACTTAAACGAGGTTGCGGACAAAATCGACGACGCGCTTGAGTTGATGCACGACAAGAAATTTAAGGCGCCACCTAACAGTATATCATCGTTTAAACACCATCCAGTATAGCCTAGCCGGCTATTCAGGGATAGCCAAGACCTGCACTCGGCTACCTCCGGATTGCAAACAGCTGCTGGCAATGGCTCTGACTGACTCTGAGAACGTCCGTGCCAAGCGGACGCCGAAACCCACCGAGCAGGATGGCATCCTTGGATCTGGGCAGCCGGCCGGCCGCCACGCGCCCCGGCGACTCCTGAATGGTCACGCGCTGGTAGTTCTGGTAAACCGTCTCCTCCATGTTGACCTGAGCATCCGTAAGGCTCGGGGTAAGTCGGTGCGCCGTCTACACAGATGCGACTCGTCGTACCTGATCGATGGGCGGATTCATCACACCGCCACAGCCGCTGGGCACATTGACATCTCTCCAGATATCTTTAGTTGGATAACTTGGCGAAGGTTACCAGATGTGATAAAAGCATCGTTTGTCCGCAAACAGGCTCTGAACCCAGCTCCGTGCGAGAACAACGGACGTGGCAGGGAACCCACCTTCCGACGGATGCAAAACAAGTTTAGACAAACGCACACATCTCTCACTCGCACCCACCCGGAACGGGCCGTTAAACACACGCATCTCTCACTTGCACCCACCTGGAACGGGCCGTTAAATACACGCATCTCTCACTCGCACCCACCTGGAACGGGCCGTTAAACACACGCATCTCTAACTCGCACCCGCCCGGAACGGGCCGTTAAACACACGCATCTCTCACTCGCACCCACCTGGAACGGGCCGTTGCTCTGGCACTCCGGGCACGAGCCCGGTTTGATCTCGTTGCTCTGGCCCTGGACGTATGGACCCAAGACGTAGCTGCACTTGTTGCAGTCGAACTTGATGATGGAGAGCTGGGGCAGGATCCCCGTTGCCGTGGTGACCACGCCGCTTGTGCGGATCAGCTGATTGAGATGCAGTTGCCTGAAGGGGGGGGGGGGGGGAGCCTTGCTTATGCAGACCAGGGAAACAGGGCACATTCCCAAGGATAGCATGTTAAACTTGAAGCCCCTACAACATTGAGCATGAAGCCTACATGGGCATAAGCACTTGATAACATCGACAATGTACGGTTCCCTATGCCAAGACCGCCCCCGGTCGGCAGAGATATTCCAAATAGATATGGCGATATTCGGGCGAAAATCCAATGTTCAGTTGCAAACATGACAACAGCCTATATTATATATATATATATATATATATATATATATATATATATATATATAATATATACGTATATATACATATGTAAACATATATACATATATATAATATATATATACGTATATATACATATGTAAACATATATACATATATATATATATATATATATATATATATATATATAATACCAAGACCATTAGGCCGACGTCCACAATATTTTAGTCGCCCGCAAGACGTCACCTACGCCATGATAGCTTGCAGCGTCAGACAATTTCTTCTGGTTGGCAGCACAGCAGGCGGTCCGTGGCTACAAGGCCGTTCTTACCTCAGCGACCGGATGTCCTCCATCAGTGGCAGGTCCGTGATGCGCACGTGAATCTCCTTGGCGATCCGCTCGTATTGGGGGAACAGGCCCAGCACCACGTCCTTGGCGGCCTGGTCCAGGATAGCCAGCATCTCGGTGGGCGCCTCGGGCAGGAACAGCGCCAGCACCCACTCTTTCAGCGCGATCACGTTGTAGTCCACGTTCAGGCTGGATCGGTTCTCTGGTGGGAAGAAGACACGTTTGTATATGCAAGAAAGAGGTATGGATCACACGACGTCAAACTAGTCGCGAAAATGGATCATATAAATCCCATTTCGGAGACCACAGTCATTTATCAAGAACTAGCACAAACCTTTAGACTGGATGGCTTTCTGAAATCGGCGCCAACGCAAGCAGTGACCACCCTATGAGAGGCAACCAGCATTCGCGACGGAACTGCGGGCAAACCGCAGTATTTGGTGGCAAAAGCTTTACGGGAGTATGCCACCTTTTTGTACTCTTCATTTACTGTTAGATTGGGCGCGTACTATCTAATCAGGTATACCGGTTTTCTCGCAATATTTCTGAATAGCGCCGAATTTCAATTTGAAGTAGCCGCTCCTCCCGGATTAGTCTCATTGGACTCCCTGCACACCACTACGAAAATATTACACTTCATTTGCCTCGTTTTTTTTCTAGCGTGCGTGTTCTGTGATGATTGCAAAATACTGATTCGTCAATATGTTTGTGTAATAAATGTTACGAAAGCTTAAACACTCTGTTTAGGCAGAAAAAATATGCGAACATGAAACTATTGTCCTGCGAATCTAATGAAACGTCATTATATTATAAACGAACCTTTCCACTTCTCCCCTATATACTACGGTGTTTACCACAGTGGCTCTTTTCAAAGCGCACCTGGCTTTGGGAAACGGAGTATCACGTGGTCTATAGTGACGCACCGGTACATACTTCAACCAATGCGCTTCTCGGTAACTGGTCCTTGTCGCCCACTGTGCTAATCACAAACGTTCATTTGTGCTGACATTCAGAAGCATAGTGCTGTAACAAAGCGCTCACAGCGTAATTTGGACTCGCGAATACTTTAAGTGAATATTTCTATGGTGTCCTGATGGTACTGCAGTAACACTATCCAGCGGTAATCGTCCTGGTGAAAGAACGTTTGCGATTGGACCAACGGGCAAGCCTGCTACCAATAAATGCATTGGCTTAAGTCTGAACCGGTATATAGCATGGACCATGCCATACCCTCCATTAACAAAGCCAAAGCCAAACAGCCAGTACAGCAAATGTCAGAGGAGAGAAACCAAGGCCATAGAATGACGTGTCGCTGAATTCGCGGGATAACAGCTTTATGTTCGCGGATCTTTTTGTCTAAACAGCGCTTCAGCTTTCCTAGCACTTGATACACAAACATTTTGACACAGTACAGAACACATACGTCGGAAAAAAAACAACGCACATGTACTACTTTCATAGTGGTGAGCAACTGGGAGTCAACTGAGATTTTCACGCAGGATCAGCTACTTCAAATAAGGTCTGAGCTTTTCAGAAGGTTTTCGAGAAAACTGGCATTACTCATCAAATCATATGCATCTTAAGCAACAATAAGTGAGAAGCATGAACAAGACGGGATACTCACTTTAAACATCTGGTTTCCCAGCATCATGACTTTCCATCCAGAAAATGGCAAACCAATCAAGGCTAGAAATTCAAACATCAGCAGGGGACGTGGTATGAGGAGCACTGCCAGGTGAGGTGCGTTTGTGGCCACTTTGATAGTCATTTGGTTTAAATGATATCAATTTTGTTATACAACTCGGACACAACTCATAACTACTTTCCAGCCATACCCCTGATATGGGCTACTGAGATCTTTCTGATTGGCATTCAGCAGCAGTTTCATGGACCATAAGTGGGCTGACAAAATGCGAAAGCTTAGATAATTAACTGACTTATCATGCTTCCATTGGTAGTCTGCAAATGTTCTGGACATGTTTCACCTTTCATACTTCGAAGTTCTGGGAGCCTCATGTAATGCCTAACCTGCACCACCCAGACAATGAGCGCATCTGATGTTTGTACCAACTACGAATCATTCACAGGCATGGCTTTGGGCTCCACATATCTGTTATGCAATGCTTGTTGCACATTTAAGGAGTCCACTATCAAAGTTGTGCCACTCACATCAACACATTATTTTACCTTCACCCTTGCACCAACAGGTCTGGCAGGGTATTTTACACATCAAACAAAACAGCGGCACGTTCTCCTCGGGTTGATACACGCTGGCTGGTGATCAGTTCACATGTCCATGCCAGCTAAACAATGCAACTGCTCTGGGTCTCCAGTCCAGTACCACTGTAGAGCAAGCCCATATATTTCTCCCAGGACCATGGAGGCAGGGGAGGGAGAGGCGAGGATTGAGTTTATATTTCTCCCAGACCAGTGGAGGCAGGAGAGGGAGAAGTGAGGACTGAACTTATATTTCTCCCAGACCATGGAGGCAGTGGAGGGAGACGTGATCATTGAGTTTTTCAAAGACATTTCAGTAAATGCTTGATATTTGTGTTTAGTCTTTTGGTATATGACTGATCAGTTCCTTTCAGCATAAGAACTCAACGTCCAAACGTCCTGGTATTTCGTCGCCTTGGGGAGGGGAACATGGCCCTGTTAGATCCCCATCCCCCCTACACTTGCCAATGCTCCAAGCTCACCTTCGCACATCTGGCGAATCTTCTCCATGTATAGCTTGTGGCCCTTCTCATCCACGTAGGTGCGCAGGAAGTTCTTGAACCTGTTGTAGATTTCGGTGCGCGGCCCGAGCTTGGTCACCCACTCGCGGACGGTGTGGCCCCGTAGGTCCTCCAGGTTCTCGATGGACTCCAGCTGGTCTTCAGGAGCGGCGGCGCCGCCTTCGGCCGCTTGCTCCGCCAGCCGCCGGCGCCGCGCCGGTCTGCCCTCCTCCTCCTCCTCGTCGGATTCGTCTGTCAACAACGCGCGTGGTGGACCGGCTTCCTCCCCCCACCACACGCCTGATTCGTATCGGACCACACGCAGTCAGGTGGACGGCTAATTCGTGAATGCAATGTCGTGTATATGGTTTCAGTCCAGAAATTAGCTCGCGAGCGCACGTCACTCACAAACTCACAAACAAACAAACAAACCTAACTGCCGCGACTCAAGCATTGTGCGACGAACCCAGGCATCGCTGAGCGAATGTGCATCGGTTTATCGGATCGGAAGAGCATGCTTACCGTACAATAGGCCCCGGCGCATGCGCCCAGCAGTTCTGCCTTCCTCGCGGTCGCGCTTGCGCATCGCCGCTTCAGCCGCGCGACGTCCGGTCTCACTAAGCGCGTCCACCTCCGAGTCGTCCAGCATGTCCGGCTCATACCGATCCAAAGCGGACATGGGCCGGTAGTCACTGCGGAAATCACCGAAAGTTCGCTCACACTCAATTTCATAAAAAGATATTAGAGTAGGAAATCAAAATTTAACTTCACATATCACATATTAACTACATAGTGACAAACATTACCTGCAGTGGTGAACAGACTTATGAAAAGATAATACATGTTAAGTTCCCTACTTGGAAGCAAGCTGGACCTGAGACCGAATCTTCCTCACAAAGCAGAGCTCCGGAAAATACAACAAAAAACTATAATACCATAGTAACAAACTATCCATTTTCTCACTTTTCCATGGCATCCCCGAACAGCTCCTCGCCGTCCTCCTCCTCCTCGCGGTCCAGGTCCATCTCCTGCAGCAGCTCCCACTGACTCATCCTCAAATGGTGCATCCAGGGAGCCAGTGGTGGAGCCGCGGCTGACGCGGCGGCGCCGACCCAGCCGCGAGGAGGGCGTGGCGCCCGACTCCGGCGAGCTCAGGGCCGACGGCGAACTTGGAGAAGTGGGGTTCACCTCCTGCAATGCCACACAGCTTGGAAATGGGACAATAATACATGTGCAATAGCCATCCAGATAAGATGCCTGCATCATGTCTTTTGTGTGGACCACAAATGTCATGATGTTGTTCATACTGAAATTTCATCACAGGAGTTGAACATCCAGCCTGCTTGCCTGACTGCACAGGGAAACCACTTGTTCAAAAAAAATTATCAAGAATGAATCAAGTATTTAACTGGGGGTAGCATATTTGAAACAATGATATGAAAACCAAGCCTAAATATGGAAATCATATTGTGAAGAAGGCAGGGCATTTGTCCATTTTATATTTTCTAGGTAGATCAATGCATGGACATTTAAGCTGCCACCCTAGCGGTCTCAAGCCCTAGCTCAAGAAACAAACAGTAATTAATACTTTTAAATATCACGTAGAGCATATTTTATCCTCATCTTAGCAATCATACTCATGCTTCATTCTGAAGATGAATAACTCCATCACTCATAGTCATATAATTTGTCATGAGTCACAAGTACACAAAATCTTCATATACAAATTAAATGTGAATAATGTATTGACCAATTGCCTTACCAAAATGGGCTGATCTTAATCATGCAGTCAACATAAAACCTTGACAAATTGATTTGAGATAATGTGGACAATCAGTAATACCATTATGGCACACAATTATCACACAATACCTGTGAATAAATAATTTGGCAATCAAAACAGTTAAAATCAGCATGCAAACATTGCACATAGGGCTTAATAATGCTGTATTGTTTCACACACACTTAGGACAATAACTTAAATTAGAAATGATTCATTGAAATGGGATGTCAATTGACATGGGACCAATCCACAACAAAATCATGAGTGAAATCAGATATAATAATTCAACAAGGATCACTAACCAATGTTAAATCAGTTCTCAAACATTTCATTTGAACAGATTTGCTGGCAATGCCAAAAATAGCAGAATTATGCAAACCTCACATCAAAATCAAATCCATGTCATATCCAAATCCAATGACCTTTGCTGATCAAGCTAAGTGAGCAATTGGAATGACTGCTTGAGGAAGTTATCTGCCAACTTCCTTCCAAATGGTTTTGCAAAAGCCAAATCTTATTGTTGCATTACTTTTTCAGACTATTTTAAAGCTATTCAGTGATATGTTCACAATTTGTTGGATGGCTTGCTTTTTCATTTGATAATCTAAGTTAGTACAGCCCAGATGCTGTGCACACAGAAATGAGCTGAAAACAATCATGAACAAACAAAATATCCCAAAGTTGCCAATTTGCCAAAGGTCTCTTACCGACATGTCTGAGGAAATATCTGATGAATATGTATTGTTGGGTGCGAGGAATTCGAGACGAGGACTTCCTCACGGTTGTCCTCGAGCTTGCAAACACGAGGCGTGCACGCTGATGGGGAGCTTCAGGTTTAACACGGTCCACTTCGCTGGAAGTCAGACTGGGCCGATTGGATAATTGACAGGAACAAGAAATGCTCGTAATAACTAAACACAAAACAAAACTCAGAAAACAGCACAAAAGGAGCGCTATCGGCCGGAGCCCACTCTCAAACCAGCGGCACCTCAACAAGACGAGCGTTCTCTTCGCGCGCTTTATTGATGAAAAGCGCGGGAAGTTGGAGGTCACACTTATTCACTGCCGTAGAGTTTTTGCGCACGCCTTCTGTGAAACAACTGGATTATGGTCCCGAGCTTATCAAAGACATGTGTAAAAAGGCATATTTGTGCAAAAAGTATTTTCAGTCAATTGCAAGTGAAGCTCAGGGTTGCTTTGATTTCGAGACTAATGGAAGGAGGTTAAATTGAATCCCAATTAGGGGAATTACGGCCCGATAAAATTTGAATCGTTGGAATTACGCTTAATCTGAATGCAAATTTGAGCTACATAAGGACTAAGCACAAATCTGTTTTATGCTTCACTTGCCTTGGAAAGCTTAACGGTCGAAATACTTGCAAAAAGCTCTAGGATTTATATCGAATATCATATGATGTTTCCGAAATGGAGCTCTGTTCACAAAGTGAGATTTTTTAGCATTGTAATTAATTAGTCTAGTATAAACACGATTTCTTGCTACATGAAGTTATATCGGAAAAGCGAGCTACAAAGGCGTGCCGTTTCCAAGGCAGCGTCAATGCACTGAAGACATGTTCGCAGCTGTAATTGCATAAATATTCACAAAATGTTTGTTTCCACAATAAATTGACGCACATCAAGCTATTCTAACTGCTCATCTTCTCATCAATAGTCTTAGGATGCCTACGGTGATGTTTTATCCTATATATCACTGCATTTTAGCGTCGACATAGCAGTGACGTCAACAGGCCGCGAGACGTTTCTAGCGCAAAAAGAGGAACGCGTGATAGCGCCGGGTGGTGATGTTTGTGGTAATGTGGGGGATTCCGCGAGTGTTTTGTGTATGATTTCTGTCTGTGTTTCACCGTAGGTAACCACGAACTTTGTGACGCAAAAAAGTGGTCCAGAGTTTATATTTTCCTTTTCAAGCGTCGAGTACAAAAGGACATGATTTGTTGAGTCTGTGTTGGCATCACCAGCAGCAAGTGCCACGAATTTCCGTGCACGGATTCCAACGAGATCAGATTTCAGTCATTTTTTGCGCTGGGATTGCCTAGAATGATCTTGCGATGCCTTTCCATTCATCAGATGATCAATGGAAATATAGTATATTAAGATAGTGGAAGGAACACTGCGCTTCCACTATCAAATTGGGTGCATGCAGTTATGTGTATGTGTGAATGTCGTTTCATGATATTCTCAAGGTAGACAATAATAAGCATATTGAGGAAAGGAGATGCTTCATGCCATGTCACATATCTTTTGGGCCTGCAGTCCAGTGTGCAAATAGTGTGCAAATAGTCCACTGTTTCTGGTGTCCAGTCATTGTTACACTGTACATTGTACTGGTGTGTGATGAATGTATGCCAGACCAAATTGTGCTGGGTTACTGTTTGTTACAATGATCTTAGTGAGACCAGTTGCTGGTCATTATGAGTGGGGATGGCAGAACGGGATGAAAGGGATGGCAGACATGAGGCAAATCTGAAAGCTTGGTTTTGTTTTGTACATGCAAAAAATTGTTGCAAGTGATGTTGCTGCTACACTGGACATGTTTGGTGTAACAGGTATTTTTTGAAGTTTAGTTTTTGGGATTCCAAACTTTTGTGTGAACGCTGAGCTGCGCATCCTCCCTGTTGCAAAATCCTGCATGCACCCCTAATATTAATGAGTTTGGAGACCTGGTTGTAAGATGTTAGATGCTAATGAAGGTAACCAGCAATATGAAAATGCATTTATTTTATTCCTTGCTGTATTGTGTATTTTTTGGTACCTGTATGGCAGGAGATTCAGTCAATATTATGACCAGGAAAATTTGGGAAGAAGGCGAGTCTTGGCCACCACTCCAGCAACCTGCCCAGAGATGCAACTGGATAAATACACATTGTATGATAGGTGCGGCTCATGGGTCATGGCAGTGGGATCAGTGTATCCATCTCCCAAGAAGCCTGGTGCTGCTCGTCTGGAGTTTGGATAACTGCTATATCTGTAGTATTTGTATTTGAAATTAATGGTCTTGCTCCCTCTCCCCTCTCAGCATTGTTTTCCCTTTGATCATGGGGTATCATGTGGTGATGACACTGGTCTATCATAGCAACCAAACTATAATTGGGATATAAGGATGTCTAAAAAGGATTCTGGATCTTGCAGGATCCTTCTCCAAAATTTCAGAATGGATCTGGGATTTCAGAGGATATGTTCACAGAATTCCCTTCATGCACAAGGATCCTGAATGGTCTTTTGGTACACTTGAACAATGTATCTGATATTTATTGAAAGGAGTGCCCCACCTTGAGGAGTATTTTTATAATGTGCTCTGCTGAAACACATCACCTTAATGATTTTTTTAGTACAAATTATGCTGCCAATGCTTCACGGATCATGGATCATGGATGGATCATGGATCATGGATCATGTGATGCTGTCATTGTTAAAGGCAAAGTGCACCACAAAGAGCCAGTATAGTAGATGTCATAGGTTGGAAATCGAAGCCACCATGTTTGACTGAATTTGCGGGATGCTGAATTTGCAGCCCCATATTCACCAGTTTCTTGTCTAAACAGCATTTCAAGCTTTTGTGGCATTTATTACACAAAAATTTGATACATTAGTGTGATGCATGCATTGCAGGCCAGACATGGTGGAATAAACAAGGCAGATGCAATTTATTACTTAGACAATAGTGAGCAAGGAGTCAAGTGAGGTTGCTCCCATGGGAGCAGCTAGTTCAAATGGAAATTCTGGGCTGTTCGGATGGTCTCTAAGGAAACTGCCACCACTGATCAAATTGTATGCATCTACTGTTGCAATCAGTCAAAAAGTACAAAAATGTGGGATACCCATTTCAAGAGAAAAAATGTTATGGAGACTTGATTGATGAAGGTTCAGGATCCAGAGCTTATGGCTCCCAACCTGTGATTTGTGTAAGGCATAAACATGTGCTAGGGTGGCATGGATCCTGGTTGCTTTCAAAGCAATCCACATATAGATGATATGTGTGAACCACATATTGTCTCCATCCCTTTTTCTTTCTTTATGTCTGTTTCCTCTGTTTCTGTCTTTGTGTCTGTCAAAAGTGAAGATGGTATTGAAAGCCTTGTTCCTTAGTGAATTACCAGGAGAAGGGAGGGATAGCTGTTGATATTTTGGCTGCATGCCTTTAGCAAAATACATGACAGTAGTAAGCTCAAAATGCTCAAAATAGTTTGAATGTATTGCTGATATTAGCAATGATAAAGGCATGTGGCCAAAATAGCAATGCATCTATCTGTTCATTCTCCTGGTTCTCCTACCAGCAATAAGGCTATTTATGCTGTCTTATTATTTTTGCTTATTATTTATGCTGTCTTATTATTACAAAGCATATTTTTCATGACAAGTGTGGTAAAATATCTACTTCACATAATGCATTCACATTAACACAATATGATGTAGTACTGGGAAATTATGATCAGTTCTGCCCTAACACTTTTTTATCCACAGGTCCTGAACTTGAAATCCAGCTAAGATGTTGGGGCTCTCTGTGTTTGGTCTCTACATGGTTTTTGTTGTCTTTCTCCTGTTTATGATGGTAAGTTCAATCTGAATGCAACAAGTCACCTGGTGCTGTCTTTTATGTGCAAGCCTGCTAACAGGCATGGGTGGAATCATGTACAAGCATAAAAATGCTGCCAAAAATTGAGCTGGTGGATCCAGGCATGTGTGTAAGCCCATACTATGGGGTTTGGTTAAGGCATTGGAAAGTCTGCCTGTCATGAGAGTAAAACAGGCAGAGTTCTGCTGGCATCGCTTTCGCGCTCATTCAACGATATTTTATGTGTGATTATGTGTATGGCCACGCGGGAGCTTACTGGCCAAGTAGTTGGTGCGTCGACTCCCATCTCCCATCTTAAGACCGTCAAATGCTGTATGTTACAGTAATTCTTATCGAACTGTTATGTTCTCTTGTTTTCTCGATGAGCATGGTATTAATTTCTATGCTTATGTGTGCTACATGATCCGTCATATGATGTAATGTCACGTCTGATGCAGTATGCGTGGAACATGAGTATTGAGGTGTCCACCGTCACCGTGCTAGGTGTGTCTGGGCTGCAAGTAATTAAAGCACCGAATAATCTTTAATCTGATGCTTGATTTCCCTCAGGTGTGTGTGGCTATATATTTAAGCACGACGCCGTACCCAGAAATCATGCGATATGACCAGGAAAAGACGTTTTACACCAGCAAGAGCAAGAAGCAGAAAAAAGAGTTTCCATTTGGAAAGTTCAAGTCTCAGGATTCAGTGAAGCTGTCAGTTATAGTGCCAGCATATAATGAGGAAGAGAGACGTAAGTTACGGCTTCTAGTGTCGGAATAGCGCAGTGGTATCACTGGGCGTCTGGGACACCAGAGGTATGAGGCTCGATTCGTCGCGGTGCCCGGCATTCCTGCCAGAGTGAGAACGGAGCTATGCTACCTACCCCCAGCTGCTGAAGGGCGTCGTGAAGCGTCAGTAACAACAGTGACATGTATCCGGCTGTTGTAGTTAAGGAAATGACAACTGTTGCCCCAGATGGCATGACGTATTTGTGCTGCACTGCGGGTAGTCTGCTGCGCCGGTTCTTGCCAGTCTGTCATTATCACTATGGCACCCTTTATATTTAAACAGTGTTTCGAAGCTGAAAGCGTTGTGTTCGTCAGGGGTCCTGGATGCGCATTTACTTCGCAGCGACCTACGTGCTCCGATAAACTTGTTCGGCCAGGCACTTCCGACTTCAAGTATCGTGTTCGTTAGGAAACGCGGATGCGCGTTTTCTTCATAGCGGCATGGTCCTCCGATAAGTTTGTTCGGCCAGGCGCTTCGGACATGATCCACCAGCCGCTCGGGCCCCTCCGCCGCTCCTCCCGGTGGGCCGTTCGCTGCGGTCTGCCGGCCGCCGGCGCCGCCACCGCCGCCGCTTGACCGCGCCGCGCCGCCAGTGCCGAGCATGATGCGCGAGGCGCTGGACCACCTGGAGGCGCGCCGCGCCGCCGACGACACCTTCAGCTACGAGGTGATCGTGGTGGACGACGGCAGCCGGGACTCCACCTCGGACCTGGCGCTGCAGTACACCGAGCAGTACGGCGCCGAGCGCGTGCGCGTGCTCACGCTGGCGCGCAACCGCGGCAAAGGCGGCGCGATCCGCATGGTGAGGCCGCTGGCGGCGCAGACGAAACGGTGTTGCGCGCCGTGACCGATTCGTGCCGGGCTCTGTTCGCGGACGGTTTTTCAACAGGAGTTCGTTCTATGTGTTCCCTTGCTGAGTGTTTTACGTTTGAAGGGTTTCGGTTGGTTCTGATTTTGTGTAAAAAGTGAAGTTGAAAACGTAGAGTTTGTTTAACGTGTAGCCACGTCATGGCAAGGGCTCTCAGAAAGTGTGAGTTTCTTTGTAGGCATGATTGGCCGAATTGGGTCTTATGACTGGGCTGTCATCCGATTGGTATTGCAAAAAGAGGTCACTGGTCGGTATTGGAAAAGAGGGTATTGTTTTGAAGAAAAGCTTCGCGCCGCCAAATAACCGAATCTTTCTCAAGCCCGATGTTCCGCCGTCACCTTCCCCCCCCCCCCCCTGCCAAGAAAAAACATAATGACGCGTGCCCAGCGCCGCTGGCTACAGCGGAGCCGTGTCGCCCTCGCCGTCACCGGGACCCGTGCGGCGGCAGGGGATGCTGAGCTCGCGCGGGCACTGGCTGCTGTTCGCCGACGCCGACGGCGCCACCCGGTTCTCGGACCTGGATCAGCTGGAGGCGCAGCTGGCGCCGCTGGCCGAGCGGCCCGACACGGCCGCGCTCGTGTGCGGCTCGCGCGCTCACCTCGAGAAGGAGAGCATCGCACAGCGCTCGCTCTTCCGCACCGTGCTCATGAAGGGCTTCCACGTGGTCGTGCGCGTGTTCACGGTGCGCGACGTGCGCGACACCCAGTGCGGCTTCAAGCTGTTCACCCGGCCGGCCATGCTGCTCTGCTTCGCCAACCTGCACGTGGAGAGGTGGTGAGTGAGGGCCGCCGGTGCTGCCGGGCCGCCACCGGGGCTCGGTATGGCTGGGGGGGGGGGGGGGGAGGGGGGGGGCGCAAAATCATCGGGCTGGTTTCAGTCTGGCGTGTATGCCGATTGGTTATTGAAACGACAGAATATTGGGTATTTTTCAAGGTTTGGGACAAGGTGGTGTCAAAAAGTAGGATTGGATGACGCGACGCGACAATTTTACGTCAGCCTCTTCATAATTATTAAGCATTGCTTCATTAAAGCCCTGAGGAAGTTGCTTGCTGAAGGTCATTATCAATGAAAGATCAGCAGCTAAATTGATGCGCTCATTGGTCCTGAATGTCTGTTCAGGCTCATATCAATATCAGTTCATATTAATGAAGACTGAAAGGTATACATCATCAAATGCCCGGATGGGATGGTGTTTGTTTTGCGAATGGACTAGACATGGGCGGAAAATACTGGATTGTAGTTGGTTGCCCGTGGCGTTGAGACGGATGGTTGGCATTATGTCCAGTTGTTTTATGTTCTTTTCAACCACGTAAGGAATTCGGTTTGTTTGCCGTTGACCCTAATATTTTGTTTACAAATCTGGCTTCATGATTAATGCATGCATATATGGTTGTAGCTGTAGGAATGGGGGTGGGGTCTCCCTAATGTGTTATTCCGTTTTCATCAACCTCTAATCCCGAAAGCAAAATGGTGGCCTTGACACATTGCCAGGAAACAGGTTTATATGTAATGTATTAATGGGACTGGATTTGTCGTCCACTGTTGGCAAGGGTTGGATACTGGCGACGATTTCAGGTTTTTCTTTCGCGCAGGGACGATCAAGCGTGCCGTATTATTTTGGATTATCGCCATCGTTGCCAGCATGGCCTGGTGCCTCTGTGATGTTCTCTTGAAGCATGTGGAGGTGGTGATTTCTACTATCGATAAATTAAATAGACGGCTGTTGTCTTCATTGATGTACTGTCGGGATACTAACCTATGATCAGAATGCAGACTCACCAATTCACCCAACAGTTCTGTTCTGGCTATGGCCACAACTTTGAATCAATGTTTTGTTCGTAACCGGTGGTCAGTACTGGGGCGAATGTGCTGTAACTCCCAAGATGTAATTTTTCACGTTTGGCAGCAACTACTCATAAGCTGTTTCGAAGCAGCGTTAAGGCTTGCCCGTGTTTACGTCCGCGTTTCAGCGTCAGCAGCTGACGTGCATGTCTGCCTCTAACACACCGCCAGAACAGCGTTGCTCCCTCATTTACATGTGATTTGGTGCCTCGAACGGCTTTAATAGGGAAGTGGCCGTATATGGAGGTGACAAATAAGTGTATTTTCAATCTATTGACCGTGGTTAAACGCCAAAAGTGCCCTATGATGGGATGAACAAGGTTTGACTGTATGCAAGTCAGACGAAAATGGCAGACTCTCAGCTGTGGCATTTGCCCTGATCTTAACTTGGGAAACGACCGGAGCAAGAACTACGCAAAATTGTAAATGACATCGAACGACGCTTCATTTGTCAATTTATTTTTATTCTGCCTAGATATTGTGTACGTGCGTATACGTGTGTCTGGGGGGGGGGGGGGGCGTATGTGCTCTCCCATTATTTCTGGTCGGCACAGACCACAGACTGTCAGCGCTAAGCTTACGCTCAGTGATCTGAGAATGCGCAGGGGTGCTGGTGGTGTAGTGGTTAGGCGCGTCTGCGTCAACCATTGCGCGTTTGGGAAACCAGAGGTACGGGGTTCAATTCTCCGCGGTACCCGCCTTTCCTGCTAGGGTGAGAGGCAGGCGACGCCATATAGCCTCAGCAGCTGATTGCGTCGTAAAGCTCCAGTGCCATGACATGACATGACTGGAGAAACCAAAGCATGCATCGCTGCAATTAGCGTGCGGGTCAGATCGTGCGCTGCATGATGTCGTCCATCCCCCTCCCCCCCCCACCCCCCCCCCCCCCCCCCCCCCACCCCACCCCGCCAACACCCCGCAGCAACAGAGGCAAATCGCGCATTGCCATCAGTTCATGGTCGTGGCTCGGGTGGGTGGATGCCCGGGCGAAATATGTATGGCGCTTGGCTTACAGCGCACGCCAGCCTGCGGCGACCGGGTCTGAACCGATGTCCGTAGTCTGCCGTCGACTCGATGCAGCGCTGCAAAAGATTGGTGACCGTAGACCACGACCCAGGGCGAAAATGGGCGTGCAAAGTGTAGTTTGCTCCAGCAAATTGCCAAAATAAAGCAGGTCCTCTTCAGTGTCAAGTCCCGTGCCACTCCCTGGGCTGTCGTGCTACAGGCTGATCCACGTCTGCAGGGCGTTCGATGCGGAGATGTTGTACGTGGCCCAGAAGCTGGACATGCCGATCAAGGAGGTGGCAGTGCACTGGACCGAAATCGAAGGTAGGGCCGAACTGGCGTGCCTTGGCGCGCTGTTGGGCTGACCTCTGGCACGCAGGTGCGGTGGACAGTGCGTGGTGTGAGTGGACAGTACGCAGCTGGTGAACAACGGTATGTGGTGGATTTGGAGCTGTCAGAAGCCCATCCCTGGGAACATGTAGGTTATGGAGTGCTTTGCACTAACTTGTTGACAGAAAAGTAGAGCCCGAGAAGAATTTGACCTTTATAGAGGCGGGCGCGGCACATCTCTGACATGTTGACAGAGAAGCTCAAGTCGAGCGGACTGTTGACCTTTACAGAGGCGAGTGCCCTACATCAGTTCAGAGGTGCTCGTTGCCGCACATAAATATTTGGTCACTACACCGTGGTGGAAACCGAGGCCAGTGATTTTCTGTAGCAGATATCGCGCTTAGACTTCTCGATTCGGAGCCGTCCGCGTTCACCGCTCAGCCTCTTATGTCTGATGTTCTCGGTAATGCGCCTCTTCTGTTCTCGCCAGGATCCAAGCTGACACCGATAATCAGCTGGATAGAGATGGGCGTTGACCTGTTCTTCATCTGGTTCCGGTACTCGATCGGTGCGTGGAGAATCCGAGATCAGCTGGACAGTAAAAAGTTTGAATGAGTTGCGACATCAAGGCTGTGATCATGTGACGTCACTCGGGGTGAGATGCGAATGGTGGGGCAAGGAATGTGTCAGCAGCGGGGCCGGGGCACCAAAGACGCGGCCAGTCCAGGCTTGTGCGTGGGTACGGGTGGGGGCACGCTCTGAAGCGATTGTGGCAAGCGTTTCAAGTATTCGTCATTTGCTTTATTGGAAAATGAGTTTCCACTCTTTCGCGAGCTGTCTGTCGGAACCGGCGTCGGCAAAGCCATTGTCACGTCACCACAATTGACACACCGCCAGTGCAGGGTAGGTCCGGCCGTCACCGAATGTCTATGGCCGCGATGGCTTACGAGATTCTTGTCACACCGATTTGTTGTGCAGTGATATCCAGTCGCGTATCCGATGTCATGTGCTCTGATCGCTTATCCACAGTGAGCCTGATTTTTGTGGGTAGATGTTGGTGTTTGGGGGTGTTCACGTTTGGTTTCTTCGTGGTTGCGACTTGTTAGGTTTAGAAAAGGTTACGTTTTGTTGGTCAACATTGCCACTGTACGCGTTCAGCGTAGTCGAGGACTTCTTTGGAAAATGGGTCTTCTTTGGCCAAAAATGAATGCGTGAACTCATTTTATCTCCATTTGGATGACCTGCTGCTCTTAGATTTCCACATACCGCACCGGCGTATCACGGTAACGGCATGTACCACGTACATACCTACGCACACATTGATGACCTTCCCATGGGGCATGTACGTGGCCCAGCTGAGTTCGATAGGATGCCAGTCTGTTCTGTCTTGAAAGTTTGTTCGATGTTTTGTTCCCGCCTGTGACTTGTTTTGGAACTTCATGATCATTCCTAGCAGACAACCCCAAATGGAAATTGTTTATAAGATATTTGTTTCTTCGGGACGCCACATTCCATCGTGGACTGGTTGGACTGCGTCTTTTTGTTCGGCCTGCGTACTTGACATGACCTTATAAGTTAATAGACGTGTTGGACACAGTCGACCAAGCCTGGAACTAATGTGTGGCGCCTCCTTTTTCCACCGCTATCGCTTCATGGGCTTGCACCACACGCGCAGGATATTAATACAGGTTTTACCGAAACGCTTGCTTTGAATGTCGTTCAGGTGTATGATGTCATAGAAACGCTGGCGTCTGTCAGCTGTCATACTGACTGATGTTGAGTGGAAGACTGGAGAGTCGCTGTCGGGTGTGTATCTTCCAGGGCTGTTTGGATAACGGCATAGATTGTAATGCAGCAGTCTACGAAGTCTTCGAACAGGAGCATCAAGGTGGCACGGGCGTGTCGCTCAGTGTGCGTGAGCGGCGTATGGCGCTGGTGCGTGTCTAATGTTGGAATCGCCAGCTTGTCGAGGCGACGGCGCACCGAACGCCGGCTCACGGGTTACCAGAACGGGTTAGATATCTTGCTTGGCAAGTATGGAGGTACGCGCTGTGCGGAAGATGCGCCGTGCTTCTGATGGCAAGGAACGCGGACGGGTTGCTGGCTGAATGCGCCTCGCTCGGTTGGGGGGGGGGGGGGGGGGCAATTAGATCCCAGAGATCTTAAGAACAAAGAGAGCTGGACTTGTCAAATTTACAGGTTAGATAGAGCTGTACGCGAACTCATTTGTGTCGAACTTTCAGGTCCCCAGGTGCCCTTCGGATATAAGAACGCCAAGCTCCAGATTGGTGTCTGAGGTGTCTGTTGACGTCCTGCAGTTAAGGAATTCGAAATGAGCGTAAAGACTACCACATTGAGCAAGTGTTTCAGCAATGAGGCGGTTTGGATTTAACCTTGAAATTACAATCAAGCCACCCACGATCAATTGAATTATTGGCAGTGCTGGAGTCAGTCATCTGTGTAACACACCATCCAGAAGCTGCATGGCGTCGTTAACGCCCCGTTGTCGCACCGGACTGAGCAATTTCCTAGGCATTGCCTTCGCGTACAGCCATGGCCTAGGTCATGGGTTGTATGGATGGGACGCGTTTAACATTTCGTACAATACAATTACTTTGATATCATCGCATATTATTATCGCATATCGCATCGCACAGCGAGGGGCATTTCTAGGGAATCGTTTAACCTCATGCAATAACGGAGCGTTAGACGAAGTCAGGCACGTCTGAAATAGTTTCCCAGACAATGCACGAACTGAGTTTAGAATTACAACCAATTAAATTGACCTACGGTAGGATATGAAGGTCAGAACGAGTTCAAAAGTAACCCGCTTTTTTACGCGAAGGCTTAGTTTTAGGGGGCAGTTTCTGGCGCTCATTTTGAGTATTAGTGACAGGGACCTCAACAGACTTGTCCCCTGGACTTGTTCAAGGTCACAGTAGGTCACTGACGTGAAATGACCCAAGTCAGCGCTTTGTTTTTAGGAACATACTGTCGAGCGTAGTCCTTGACGCTCATTCGAATGACAGAGTGGAAGCAAACTCATAGGCATTTGGCCACCTTGACCTTATAAAGGTCTAAAAGGTCACTGGCCTCATTGACGTTTTGCTTAGAACAGGTATCTAGTTTCGCGGTGGTTTCAGGAGGAGGTCTGGGAGCTTTTGAAGCACCAATCTGGAGTTTGATCTAGTTTGACGTTATTTAAAACCAAGGTAATTGCCTAGATGTCCCAAATTTTTACACAAGTGAGTTTACGTACATAATAAGACACCCTGTGAATATGGTGTCTCTAGATATTTTAGTTTCCGAGATTTCACGGGGTCAAATTGACCACCAACCGAGCAGAGTATTCAACTGGCCACCCGGGCACGTGTTGAAATGCTCAGAAACTGTCCCGAATATTTGAATGCCACTCTGAAAATCATCCTTCCCAATAAATAATGGCCAGGGCAATGTGAACTATTATAATGCACCAAGAACGATTGTCTCATGTGAACTTCATCTTTTTCTCATTAGTTTGTGTCCAAAAATAAAAAGGCAGTTATCAGCTTGGAAATATATGGACCATGCACCGACAAGTTATGCGTGACGCACGAAGGCAGGGCGCGCGACGTACCGCTTCAGCCAGCTCCCCTCATCACCACGTGAATTGTCGGGCCAGGGTAATTGGAGGAGGAGGAGGTGAGTGCGTACTGCAGGGGTGGTGACTGTTGTTCATGTAGGGCCATTCAGGAGTCAGACAAATGCCCAGTGATAGAGTCTTTGGCCACTGCCCGTTGTGTGGTTGGAGCCCGTGGCTGTGTTGGCAGTGTCTTGCAACAATGAAATGCTCTACAGCCCCAGTTGCGCCAATCTGTTAGTGAACCACACAACGAGAGTGCGGCGAAGTTTACTGGGGATATGCCATATTTTTGTCCTTTCATTTTGCATTAGATTAGACACGTCCGCTTTGATCGTTGATACCAGTTTTCTCGCAATCTCTCTGAAAAGCTCAGAATTTTTATTTGAAGTAGTCAACCTAGTCGGACAAATATCGTAACACCTTTCATTTGCCATGCTTTCTCCAACGTGTGCGTTCTATATTGTGGCATCACACTAATGTGGTCAAGTGCTCGCGTAATAAATGCTGCGAAGGCTTGAAACACTATATGTGAAGTGAAATATATTTGCAAACACGAGGCTATTATCCCGCGAATTCAACAAAACGCTTCACTCCGGCTTTGATCCCTCCACAATGACGTTTACTACAGAGGATCTTTTCAAAGCGCACTTTGGCGCTGGGGTATTGCATGGTCTAAAGCATCATCGCATTGTTTCAAGCTGGGCATATAAGCATTATTCCATCGGGTGTGTCAGATACAAGCGCATGGTGAATGAGCTGAAAGAAGATCGACAAAGGATGGATAACCCTTGGCGTTTCCATCGGTTCCTTACATGGTCCTCATTTACGGTATTTCTGGGGACCGTCATTACTCGGCGGTCCCCAGAGAGAACCGCCGAGCTTTTTTCGGAACGACGCAGCTCATAGTGCGCTTGTAGCCTTAAACTCAATGAAGAGCTGATTTTTTAAAAAATGTTCTTCCTGAAGGGGAAAACATTTGAGGATGAAAGCTAAAAGATTGTCTTGTTTTGCGAATCAGGTGCAGTTAGAAGGATATGTCCCGCAAAGAAAGACTATGTGTCTGAGAGGTGTAAAAAGTGATGAGATGAAACAGCAAAGCTGGCTAATTCAAGGCAGTCTGTATAGGATTCACCAACTTAATCAGGAAGACGAGAGTGACCCACGAGTCGGATTTCGAAAGTGTAGTCTCCGCCCGAAACACTGTGTCCTGATGTGTAACGGCACCACTCAGCGGTTTCCGCATGCTGTCATCACCAAAACGCCAAGCTGATGGTTGGGTCTCTTGGCATACGAGATCTCACTTAACATGACCGACTGAGTCTCGCCGTGTGTGATGTTCATAGGGAATCCTGCATGATCCGGGAGTGCGAGCATTTTCCGCATTCGAGATGGTGTGCGATCGCTTTTGACTGACGCGAGCAATGCGCGAGCGGCTGACATTTTGGATTCGATCAATAAAATAAGATTTAGCCATCGGGTGAGCACCGACCGATGCACTTCGAATGAAATTGTTTTGCCATTGGGTGAGTTTTTGGTCAAATTGTCATAACCCACAGTTGAGTGACCAGATATCACTTACGACCCAACGCCACGGTAAATTTGTTCGATGGCCTTTAAACTATTTGTTGACTCCGAGAACGGAGCTTTGATCCTTTTCGACCTTCTAGAAAGCTACAATGTCATTGCCCAAAAGGAAGGTCAGCAGTTTCATTGGGATGCATCGTCATGCACGTCGCATCCTTTCGTGGCATATTGGCCAAAAGCTGGACGTGTTGCGCATAAAAAGTTATTGCGCGCTGTCAGACGCTGATGAAACATAACACTTTTGTGATCCATACATTTCTACGCTACGTTTTATCGGAAGTGCAAAGCCTCGCTTCAAATATGAATAGTGTTTTAGTTTTCGGACGGATCAGCTGCGCAGTGCAAGAACGGCTTAAATCCTTCGAACATTTCCTTTCATGAGGAGGACTTTGGTGTGAAGTGCGAGTGACATTCCCTTATCATATCCCATGGGAAGAACTTTTTGGACCGGGCTGGGGACCTTGAACACGGTTGCTGCAGGCGCCAGCCCGTCGCGCCTCTATTCTGATCATATTCTCTCTGTTGAGAATGCCAGTTGGTGCAGGCCGAGGCAAGTGTGCAGGCGATATGTATCTTCGTACCAAGGGGAGGAGTCTTCGGGCAGAGGATGATCTTAGCATCAGACTGGCTACGGCCAAAAATACCAAAAGGACATTAAGGCTCACAGAGTAACTCCAGTGAGTGCTCAGACTGTCATTGCCCGTGAGTCAGCATCAGGCGTGGGGGGGAAAGCAGCGGTTCTTGACTTCCAGAGTTGTGATAAATTAGAATGAGTTAAGCTGTGTCACTGGTGCACTGAGTAAACTACGTGTGTGCGAGCCATTATGTGGTTAAGCTTAGCGTTGTCTCAATGCGCGCATTTTCCGCCGCCTGTGCGGAGAGACGCGTGGGAGATACTGCGCCGGCAGCCGCCGGCCGATGGCGCGATTGTAACGTCTTCCCCTCGTTTGACGCTGTTTTCAAGCCGATAGCCATCTTTTTTTGTTTTTAGATTATGTGGTTTAAATTACGTTATTTTATATGCGAATAAGAAAAGGCCCAAAATTGCGGGGGGGAAATGGTTCAGCATGCATTGCAAGTGTTCATAATGCCAAAATCAGTATTTATTGTGCAATACGACTCCAACCACGACATTCGCATAGTCTGGACGGTCTCTTATTAATTTTGAAATCAAGATTTGTACGGATTTCCTTATTCGCAGCGAAAAAAAATCGTCGCCGAACGTAGCCCTTCAACGACACAACACCAAAAGGCCCGAGGCTTTAGATCCGAAACCGCTTAATTGGGAGGCCTGCATAGGTCAAAGGGGTCTTCAGCGCCATTGACAACCTCTGTAGCCCATTTGTATCAAAATCCGATGGATGGTGATAACAAATTGATACTTCGACGCCATCAGTGGACACTTGCATGCTGCTGCTTCTGGGATACGCCATCAACCGACTCCTGCATGCTGCTGCTCCCGGGGTACGCCATCAGCCGACACCTGCATGCTGCTGCTCCCGGGATACGCCATCATCCGACGCCTGCATGCTGCTGCTCCCGGGATACGACATGAGCGGACACTCGCACGCTGCTGCTCCTGGGATACGCCATCAGCCGACACCGGTATCTGGGCTAGCCGAGCATCCGTTTTTGTTGGCCAGGCCTTGTAGACCTGTCAAAACACTTCAATTTGTATTTATCAGGCCCCACTCCAAGTTGTGCTTATGCTGCATTTTTCTAGCCTCAACGAATGTAAAACCCATCGGCTTCGCCGCATGAAGCTTAAGTTCGTTTTGCACTCGCATTTTGTGATAGGTAACAAAAGCCAGGTTCAAGCTTTGTTTAAGTGTAGTTTAAGGCCAGTATGAGCTATTACTCGTAAGAGCTGAGACATTAAGCAACAACTAAATACTATTAATAGTATTATTTGCGCAGAATACATTCGCTTCTGCCATAACTTGGATTCAAAGTCCAGAGTGAATGAGCGAAGAAATTAACGTTTTTGCCATGCCAAAATCTCTTCTTCCTTTGACAAGTGCCCGCGAAATTCAATCGGTTAGGTGGGTAAGCCAAAAGACCTGATAAATTCTGTTAATTTTTGTAGGATATTGGGCACATGGCTGGAATGGTGCCCCCAGGTTTGCTAGTTTTCGGCTGCGAGACCACAAATAGGGAAGGCACATTTAAACGATTGCGAATTTTCGACAGGCACAGTGCATGACTGCCAAAACGTCATTATCATACCATTATGCCATTATCACTAAACATCAAGAGGAGCTTCTTACTGAGAGGAATTACGCAAAGTGTTGCCGGTCCCCTATTTGGAGTGCTCACTTGTACCAACTTAACCGTGGTATTGTCAAATAGGTTTAGCGTTCTGTGATGCTCTGCGCTATTACCCTTCTGCACATTACCCTTCTGATCGCGTGCACATGCGTTCGGCAATTGCGGGTCTCTTTTAGGTTATTTGGGACAATCCTCCACTTTCTGAAGCTTGTGAGTTCGCGGCCCCACGGTGTCGCCACCCCCTCTGCGGACAAGCCATGAGCCCCCGCATTCTTCACGCATCGACTGGCGAAGTGCTCAAGAGCAAGTGTGATGAAGGGGGTCAGCCTGACATCGATTTGCGAAACATTCGGGAACAAATACGGTGAGCGAAGCCAGCTTCACATCGATTGGCGAAGTGTTCAGGAGCAAATTTGGTGAGTGGAGGCAACCTTACATCGAGTCTACGACTGGTGCCAGATGAAGATGTCACGGGCTATCAATTGCCGACAGCTGTTCCCCGATCCAACGCTGGGACTTTAAGATCACCGTAACATCATCCGATTTCCTCAGGTCTGGGGCATCAGCACACACCTGAGGGTTGTGGTCGGCGAGATGCTCCCGAGGCTGGTTAGGCCGGTCTACTCCGCTCGGAGGCTCAAGCGATCTCCAGCCGTTACCCGCAGCGCGGCGAGTGCGCCTGCTTTCCAGCGTCTGGTCGCAAGGGTCGACGTTTGCTGTGGCCATCACACGGTCACATCGCGACCGCGGCCCAGCCCGCAGCGAGTGTACACCAGCTCCCCCCCCCCCCCCCCCGGCAGACAGTCAGCAGAGGCCGCCCTTGGGCCTAGGGCTGGCTGGGCCCCCGGTCGGCAGGCGGCAGCAGTATCCTCCCGCAACCCCAGCCGGGCTGACATGGCGTGCTCCGGGCAGCGCCTGGGTGCACCCTTGGAAATGACTCCTCTGCTGCTGGTGTTGGTGCTGCTGTCACTTCTGAAGTCGGGTGAGTTCACCGCCGGCGCTGGGCGTGGTCTACTTGCTGGTGCTGACCGTGCGGAAGTCGTGGGAGCTTAACGTTTGCTGACATGTTGGCATAAGCTACAGTACCTCGCATCTGGCAGAGGTTTGATATTCACATTCTGCAGAAGTCGACACCCCGTTTCGATTTCGCTCAAACTTGGTATACAACTGAGCAACGGATCCCCAGCAAACGCATTTCGCTGAACGCATTTTGCCACGCACCTACAATGCCCAAATTGAACTAATCTCGGGACTGCATTGTCTTGCATATCATTCGAATCGTCTTAGCATGGGGGAGCCCGAAATGTATATATTCAGGCTATATTCAACCTAGAATATACCCTGCATAGGTCTGGTTCATCATCTCAGGTGAAAACTTATCTGGAGTCCATCGTTACACTACGCCCCGCTATGGGACATGCTTTGTCCTTACAATTCATAATTAAGTATACAAAATCGACTATCGCGTAGTGGACTTGGGTGGACCTATGACAGCGTATTTTCCAAAACCCCGTTTTCTTCAGATGTCACTTCAGTACAGTCACTACAGTACATGTCACTCAGGTACAGATACGGGGACCACTGCAGTCCTTAACCCATGCGTTGGAAACTGTGACCTCCAGAGGTCATGGAAAACCTCACCGATGTTCCACATTGACCACCATGAACGTGTGTACTAGTCATACTATTACCATTTTCTGGTGCCAGAAAATGAAAACAGCACATAGAACATCAAGATCACCTCATGACTGCTCGCATTAGGAGTTTTTTTAGCATTAAGCATTAAGAGCTTTTATTCTGTTTTTGTCATGTGCATTTGCAGTGCATCCACGACAGGCAGTCAAGCACACAACACAAATAAAGACACGGTCATCCACGCCCGATACTCTCCGTAGATGAATAATCAAACAGACGACCACACTCCCCTGACAGTTCAGCACATTCCGAGCGCCGCTCGTGACGTAACGGAATCGAATCTAGTTGAGCTCCCGTTCACCCACATGTCTCTTTTTTAAGGCACAGTCGCATATATGCCCTCCCCCCCCCCCCCCCCCCCACGTTAGCTGGTGGGGCGCAGACCGTGCGACCGAGGTTGGTCGCTCGGTAAGTCTCGATCACTTTTAGTTGAACTTTTGCACGCCATGGGTCATGCCAGCCATGCTACTTTCAATTGGCATGCATTTATGCTTTCGAATGTGTGTGTAACAAAGCATTGTGAATTGAGAGTGAAGTTCATACACTTTCAATGGCAATACGCCTCCTGCCCAACATAACAAGGGTCTAAAGTACGATTGAAAAAGCTATTACAGTGGACAGGTTTCCCGAAACTTACGTTGTCACCTGAAAGCTGATCAAGGACCATCGTGCTTTCTTCATAAGTTTTCCAAAACCTAGTTACCACATGGCACTGCAAAAATTGACGATGCAGGGTCTTTTCACTGTCAGAGCCAACTGCATCTCGAATACCAGATATTACTAGATGCTTATTTGAGGAGGAAATCCGCAAAAAAAACTTAACTAAATCTATCTGGGACTGAAGATGGGCTTATTTGAGGAGGAAATCCGCAAAAAACTTAACTTAATCTATCTGGGACTGAAGCCGGTTGTACCAGCATACGGGTGGACGGTCGTTTGTTACCAGAAAAGGTCCTGGCGAAGGTTCAGTTCCCTTCGCTAGTTAAGTCGATAAGTAACAAGCGCACTCGCCGTGATTTTACAAAGATGGACATTGTACGCCATTTGACCGTTTAGTCGTCTTTTGCAAGGTAACTGTACTGTCTACAGGGTTGCCTGCATGCATTCTGCCACTCGTGATTGATCTGGCCTACTTTCTACGCCTGCAACTAGTTTCATAAAGTTCCACAAAAGCGGAAAAAGAGAAATAAAACCAAATTTATTATCAGCAATATTTGGTGTATCTTAAACAGCATGTCAAGGCTATTCGAGTTACATTTTTTGGGCTGTAACCCCATATTGCAAGTACAGTCGTGAATTTCAGCGACCGCGGCAATGTAACGCCTTGTTCTACTGGAAACAGAGCCCAAAACATAGACCCCAGATTTATTGTTGAAAATAATGGATTCTCCTCTGCCTTACTCATTATGCAACTGATCACTTGGACTAACCGGCTAACCTTGAATAACCTAGGAATTAACTTTGGGCTTGATTTTGATCGCATATAGCAGTCAACTTAAGCTCATTTTGTCATGCTTTTTCTGTATATATATATATATATATATATAATTATATATTATATATATATATTAATATATGTATATAATGGTGATATTCTATATACTCTCTCTCTCTCTCTCTCTCTCTCTCTCTCTCCTCTCTCTCTCTCTCTCTCTCTCTCTCTCTCTCTCTCTCTCTCTCCTCTCTCTCTCTCTCTCTCTCTCTCTCTCTCGCTCTCTCTCTCTCTCTCTCTCGCTCTCTCTCTCTCTCTCTCTCTCTCTTCTCTCTCTCTCTCTCTCTCTCCTCTCTCTCTCTCCTCTCTCTCTCTCTCTCTCTCTCTCTCTCTCTCTCTCTCTCTCTCTCTCTCTCTCTCTCTCGCTCTCTCTCTCTCCTCTCTCTCTCCTCTCTCTCTCTCTCTCTCTCTCTCGCTCTCTCCTCTCGCTCTCTCTCTCTCTCTCTCTCTCTCTCTCTCCTCTCTCTCTCTCTCTCCTCTCTCTCTCTCTCTTCTCTCTCTCTCTCCTCTCTCTCTCTCTCTCTCTCTCTTCTCTCTCTCTCTCTCTCTCTCGCTCTCTCTCTCTCTCTCTCTCCTCTCTCTCTCTCTCTCTCTCTCTCTCTCTTCTCTCTCTCCTTCTCTCTCTCTCTCTCTCTCTCTCTCTCTCTCTCTCTCTCTCCTCTCTCTCTCCTCTCTCTCTCTCTCTCTCTCTCTCTCTCTCTACTCTCTCTCTTCTCTCTCTCTCTCTCCTCTCTCTCCTCTCTCTCTCTTCTCTCTCTCTCTCTTCCTCTCTCTCTCTCCTCTCTCTCTCTCTCCTCTCTCTCTCTCTCTCAATTTGACACAAACGCACCAGATTTCACGACGACCATTACCGTAGATGAATACTGAAATTATGACGTTTTTAAAGGATCGGCCATGCCCTCTGAGCGTGTGGATTGTTCTCGCCATATCAGGGTTTTTAAAGGTCCTTCCTGCACTTGGCTTTTGACTTATTTTCCGGTCTCCGAGTGAGCAGCACCACTACCAGAGGTGGCATTCTGGCTGGTAGGTCATATCTGGCTGTCCACACAGGTATGTTGGTGTAAGAGCCACCTTAGTGGCATACTCAAATCGCGGTTATTCTCCCAAGTTTATTCTCCCACTCCCACGCTTTTCACAACAAAATGACGAAGGCGAATTACCACGAGCATTATTGGAGAGTCACCACAAAGATTGCCATTACTATTCTTCTTTGCTGCACCGAGGTGCCCTCGAATCAAGCAAAACAAGCCGAACGAGCCGAATCTGAGTCATGACTGACAGTGGCAAAGGTGCTTTCATAGCGTGCCAACGGCCAAGCAAGGACACTTAAACGTTGCTGACCCGTGGATCTTTAGGTTGATGACTTTCGTGATCCATACGCAATTGTGTGATATGGAATAATGATCCGTTCTCGCCGGCTCGCTCCTACGCTCTGCCCCGAGGTGCGGGTTTCAGCCGCTTGGCGGCGGGGCGGCGGCGGGCCGGGAGCGGGAGGGCTTGAGCGGCGTCCGGGAGGGGAGGACGTTAATATCAGTGTCTGAACAATACAAATTGCCACCGACAAGGCGACCGAGCCGCGTCGAACAGTGCACTATCTTTTGTATCACAATACCGGCAAGTGTTTTCTGAGTGCGTCAGCATTTCATTAACTTCATTGTTGGGCCCGACAGTCAGATCTGCCGAGCTTAGTGCAATCTGCTTTGCTTCGCCTGAAATCGCGACAACTTAAAGAACTGATTTAGTTGCACTGAAATTCAGCAGAATTTACCATGGAAACAATTTGTCACTTGGCATAGTAAAAACCAAGTGCGGTCGACTGAGTTGAGTGGTCCGAGAACTGGGCTGATTGCCTCCCCCCCCCCCCCCCGCACTTGCAGGCCCGTGCTGCCCTCAGGACAGTCCCCGGCCGGCGCTGACCGGTACCCCTGTCGGCCCCTGTTGCCCTACGGACAGTGCCGGGCCGGCGTTGACCGGTGTCTATGCTGCAGGTGCCAGCTACAGCGCCTGCTCGTCGGAGCGCGCGTGCGTGGTCAGCCCGCCGCAGACGGGAGCAGTGCGGCGGGGCGCCTGTGTCGACATCAGCGCCACCTGCCAGGAGCTCGACTGCAGCGCCGACCAGCCGTGTGCACTCGACCCGAGCGGCCATCCCGTCTGTCTGCCAGCGAACGCGACGCGCGCGCCTCACTGCGGCTCCGAGGACGAACGGCTCGAGCAGCCCTGTCCAGAGGGCGCCACCCTGCTCGGCTTCGGGTGCGGCTGCACCTACTGCTCGGACAGCGAAACGACACCGTCACCGCCAACGCCGCGCGGAGAGCGCCAGGACCTGACGAGCAGGGCGTGCATGCTTGTCCACATGAGCGGGGGGAGTGTTAAGGAGTGCGCTGATGTCGCAAGCCAGTGTCGCGAAAAGCACTGTCCCAACGGCACCGTCTGCGGCCTGAACCTGGATGAAGAGCCGGAGTGCTTCCCAGCGTCGGTCAAAAACTTCAAGAACTGCAGTTCGGAAGAGCTCCGCCTGTCCCGGCCATGCCCGGCCGACTCCAGAATTCGTGGATATGGAGAGGAATGTACATTCTGTGTGGATGGCAACTCATCTGAAACATTCGTTGACGATCAGACACGAAAAGCATGTGTCGTGATTGACATGGGTTCAGGGCAGTTCAAAACAGAATGCATTGACATCAGCAGCCAGTGTCAGCAGAAAAGTTGTCCCAACGACACAGTTTGCGGCTTGACTCAGGATGAAGAGCTGGAGTGCTTCCCAGCGTCGGCCAAAGAGCTCGAGAACTGCGGTTCGGAAGAGTTCCGCCTGTCCCAGCCATGCCCGGCCGACTCCAGAGTCCGTGGCTTTGGACAAGGATGCACGTTTTGTGTGGGTGGCAACTCATCTGAAACATTGGGTGACGATCAGGCAGGAAAAGCATGTGTCGTGATTCACATGGGTTCAGGGGAATGGAAAAAAGAATGCATTGACATCAGCACCCAGTGTCAGCAGAAAAGCTGTCCCAACGACACAGTGTGCGCTTTGAGCCCGGACGAGCAGCTGGAATGTTTCCCATTGTCGAGCGTGGGCTCCAAAAACTGCGGCGCGGAGGATCTCCGCCTCTCGCAGCCGTGTCCGGAGAACGTGGACATCCTCGGCTTCGGTCAGAACTGCACGCTCTGCCGCGCCTCCGGGCCGATCCCGGCGCTGACTCGGGCGCCGACACCAACACCGACTTGGGTGCCGACGCCAGTGCAGATTCGGACGCCGAAGACCACTCGTCCGCTCCCGGAGACCATTGTCTGCCTGGTCCACAACGCGCGTTATCGTTGCGTGGACATCTCGAGACAATGCATAGAAAAGGCATGTGGGCAGAACAAGGAGTGCGCGCTGACTGTGAAGGGGCAAGTCGTGTGCGTTAGCCGCAAAACGAAGAATCGTCGCTGTGGCGCCGAGGAACAATGGAGGCTGCAGCCGTGTGAGCCCGGTCTCGTGCCGCTGGCGTTCAGTAGCAAATGCGCCTACTGCTTTCCCCTCGCGCAAACCTCGGTGCGGCCGATAATATCGGTGACGGCCCGGCCGGCCACCCGGCCGCCGCGGCGGCCGGCCACCTCGCCGCCGCCGCGTCTGCAGGCCTGCTGGAACGAGGGCAACGCGGTCGTCTGTGGAGGCATCTTGGCCATATGCCAGCAAATGGGATGTCCAGGGCCCAGTAGGTGCGTGTGGAATGCGAATGGTTACTTCATCTGCTTGCTTAAGAGGAACCGGATCGAGCAGTATTCCCAGTGCACCGGGTATGGACGGCAGGAGTTCCTGTGTCCGAGGGGATGGCCGCCGCGAACGGCGCGGGTGTTCACCGGCCGCTGCACCAACTGCCCGCTGCAGAAGGCGATGGCGAAGATGGCGGTAGGGCACATGGCTTGCTTGCCTCAGTCTGATAAGGGAACGATCTGCGTCGACGTCGCGGAATGGTGTGCGTTGCGGCCGTGTCGCCAAGGCTTCGAGTGCGCGTGGGACGTGAGGAAGGGGATTGCTTACTGCCTCTCGCAAAATCAGCGAAGCATGTTCCGCTACTGCGGCGACCAGCTGCAGCGACAGCGCCATCCCTGCGGTAAAAGACCCTTCCGTAGCGTGCGGTTCTACGGACAGAAATGTAACTACTGCAGCTGATGTCCCGGGCCGCGCCGAGCATGCGGCATGGGAATGCTTGCGGCTGTACGTTCAGACTGGGTACTTTTGGCTGCGTTCTGTAAGTCGGCGAGTTTATGAATGCAAACACGTTCCGAAAAAGCACGTGTCTATTTTTGACTAACCAAGCTCTTACAGATGTAACCTTTTCCATCTTGATGTGATTCATAAAGGAGGCATTTATAATACAACTCATGCAGAAAGAGGGCACAATCGAAGCGCGCATTGCATTGGACATTATTGGGCCATTCCACATTAATTGGGCTATTCTTAGATGTTTGCCAGCGGGTACACAGGCATTCACAACGCAGCAAATATAAACATACAGAAAGATGAATATGACAGGTTACAATATTAGGTACTTTGAACAATGTCATAGGGCATGGGTCTTGAACATACGAAGAGACAAGTCTCCAATGCCGTTGTTGATGACACGCTCGTTGTGCATGTACGTGGTTCGGAAAGCATAAGCTTGCTTTCCGCGACTGCTTTTGGGGCGAGAAAGAGATAGATCACGATGTTGTCTGGTACTTGTGTTCTCTCCCGTTGTTAAAGATGGGCCTGGTAGCAGTGGTGCAGACAAAGACCGCCGTCAGGTTTGTTTTGCCCCACGTTTTGCCACACACAAATTGACAAACATACGTTATGTGCAAAGGTCAAAGTGGGTGTAATGCCCCTACTGACTAATGGCTAATTTGATTGTGAAATGCCATTTTGAATATGTTGGGGTTCTAATGCCCGTGTAGGGGAGAAAAGGGAGAGTTGCATCAGTTTTTAATCTGAACTCCTTTCCTGCAATAACTACTGAGAATAGTATGAAGATGATGATATCTGCAGACAGCTATAACGTGCAGCTTCATATGTAGCGTTACGATTTTGTACTTCTATCTGTTTGCTCGAAATCCATCTACAAAGTGGCTCTTCGGATCTTCGGCTTGTTATAACGTTCGCTAGGTTTCGTTTGTTGCAACACTCACTTAATCGTTACAAAACATTACACAAATACTATAAAACACGATGCTGCGAAATATACTCTAAAACAAGACGTTACAATGATGTACAGTGCGACACTGCAAAATGTAATTTTATGAAATATGGACGAAGTTGAACGATAAATCCAAGCCATGTTCCAGATTAACAGCAGCAGATTACGTCAAGCCCAGAGTACACATACAACGATAAATGAAAACAAATCAAAATTACCTAAGATCCGTATTGATATGTCAAGATTACTGACGTACATACATATGGCGCACAATCACGCGCGTCACTACTATGGGCTTAAGGATATGACCTTACATTTGCGTTTTAAAATGCATGTTTTGCATTTCTCAGGGACGACGGCATAGGGATGGTTGGAGGCAAGCGCTGACGGTTTCAAGTTGCCGCGGCACGATAAGAAAAGGCTTGCTTAGTGGCCTCCAATCGGCACCTGGGCAGGTGGAGACACATCAACATGGAGGAGCGCCTCTCCCTCAGTGAAACAGAGGAACGTAGCTTGAAAAAGAAACCGCACAGTGGGGGCGATTCCTTGCATCTTAGCGCTTTGAATACTTCCAAGCACGTCCCTCTTTTTTCCAAGTGATCTGTCCGGGTTCAGTCTAGAGACTCTGGTCTCGTTGTTGCATGCTGGCTGCGATTCATACCAGAGACAATCCTGGCGGCAAAATTTATAAATTTGTGAATTCTCCGCACATGGCCCTTGATCGCACCACCCCATACACATAGACAGCATGATATAAGTGGAAAACCGTAAGCTTCCATGATAATTTGTAGAACATTAGGTGTAATGCTCAGACTAATGCGATACAGCAAGATTATAATTCCGCTGCATGTTGGCATTATTTTGGCAACACCCCTTCTCCCACGAAAGCGTCGAGTCTACGATTACACCAAGAAATTGCATGTGCCGTAAAGGTGTGATGGCCACTCTATCTCCCGTCAATTGTCCTTAAATTATGTTTTAAACCTATGAGAACAATGCCGGTTTTTGTCTTCATTCATGTTCAGAGAGTTTACGCTGGACCAAGCCTGCAGTTCACAAATCGATATTTCGTTCATTGCGTCAGGACGGTTTGTTGGGAGGAGCGTGGTCCAGGAGATGAGCGACATCTGCGTGTGAGACGAGGCGTCTATATCACAGGTGACTTGGCAAGTCGTTTGCGAATGGTGTGAAGGATAGCTGGCCGACTTTGGCTCTCTGTGGCACTCCGTGGGTTGCCAGAAGTGTCGTCATTCCTCCACGCACTAGGCAGGCGGTGTGTGCGGCAAACGTATTTCTCCACCACTCAGTATAACGTTCAGATTGGTCTAGATTTTGTCCGTAACCCCTAGTTTTCCACTCGTAAAACCCGTGTTCGGAGAGCACATTGAGCACGTTGCAGAGCATTTACTTTTTTGTAAGTGATTTCTGAATGAGCCCCTTTCATATGAGACGACACACCCGACCTCGATAAACTAGATCGCACAGTGGTGAAAGTCGTGATTATGTTGTACTTGATAGCGCAAGAAAGCCGAAGGCGTTACGACATCCAGACCAAATGCGCTCGTCTGCGCTATATCCTAATCCGTCGCGATTGCGACATGACCCATTTCTACCTTTTTAATCAGTCAGTCTTTGTCTTACGACAAGGCTACTAGAGTAAACTACTGGCAGGTATTACGACTATTGTCATGTCGGTTTCGGCTGTTCAGGTGCAAACTATGGGTCTGCATAGATAATGTGCGAGTCGACTTGTTGTCTAGATGTCAATGAGGCATGGAAGTCATATCAGCCAATCATTGACAGTAAGTCAATAACATATGGTCGGTACGTTGTACGACATTCCCATGCACAGGTGATAAAAGCAGAAGGTGTACCACCCGGCACCTTGCGAGAAAGTTCCTGCCGCCCTAAAATCCTTGGTTAGTAGGTGTTATACGCTTTGCAGTATATGCGACAAATACATCCCCCCACACTCAGTAAAGCATTCAGATTGCTATAGTTGACTGAAGCCCTCAAACCCACATTTACACCAATCCGTATAGTTTCCAACAACATTTAAAAGCAGACTTGTCGTGCTCACTCCAGGATGAGTTTACGGAGGCCGGAGCCTGAGCCTGAGCCGGACCCGGAGCCGGAGCCGGAGCCGGGGGTCGGAGGCACACTGAAAGGTAGAGTGACCTGTTGCGCGTCAGCTGAGTGACTTAACACGCGCTCGGGTGGGCTGGCGGTTAAATTGAACCCCGAAGGTTTTTCGAGAGTGGTTTCCGAACGGCGCGGCGTAGCCGCGCCAAAGCTTGCATATTTGTAGACAATTGCGAGTTGCGGATTGTTTGATGTAGAAGATTTAGATGAACCTTGTAAGGTCGCTGACCTATGGCAGGTCAAAGTCAGGCCATGGTTTCAGCGAAGGCAATTTCTAGGGAATCGTTCAAACTGATGCAACAACGGAGTGTTTGACGAAGCCATATATATCTCTGAGATGCTTTCTTAGGCAATTCAAATCTTGAATGAGAAAATGACGTTGACTCAATGTCAGGTATGAAGGTCACACCAGGTCAAAACCAGCCTGTCTTGTTACTCTGGGGCTTGCTGTATGGAATAGTTTCTGGGGCTCATTTCGAATTTATTGATAGCAGGAACCGCATTATGCATCCTACATTGACTTCTTAGAGGTCAGAATAGGTCATTGACTTAAGATGACCCTGGCTGACATTTGTTTTAGGAATATACTGCCGAGCGAAATGTTTTTCGCTTATTCAAATGCAGGAATCAGAGCAGTCTTGCATAATTTTGGTCACTATGACCTACAAAAGGTCAAATGAGGTCACTGACCTTTAGTGAGCGTGTAAACTTTCGCTTAGAAACGGTTGTTTAGGTGCTGGGGCACTTTGGAAACCAACCCGGAATTGGACCTTGTGTGACCTTATTTGACCTGAAGGTCATGACTTAGGAACCTCAAACTTTGACCTAAGTGAGTTCACGTACAGGTCAATATACCCTGTAAATTTGTTGTTTGTAACTTTGTTAGTTCCCGAGATCTCAGGTGGGTCAAGTGACCCCCCACCCGAGGGCAGGGTATCTAGCCGGCCACACGGGCGCCTGTTAAGACTGCCATTTCCTGTACTGAACTACTTGGACATGATACAACACGGAGCGGATCCAGGATTTCGTCAACGGTAGGGGGTATGCAACATTCTTTTTAAAGACTTAATTCAAACCTCTCGAATGTATGGGTTTCTGGAATCAGAGCTCACACTAAGCAGCACGTGTTTTGTTAACCCTGACCCCTTACCACCCGATCGCGCAATTCCATATCAACGGCAGAGTTTGGTGGCGAAAGCTTCAAGTGGCGCAATGCTCGGCACGGTCCGTCCTGCCGTCTGACGTCTGACCTTTATCTCGGCCGCTGACCATGCCTGTCACTTTCAAGTCAAGTCAAGGTAAAATAGCGAGCGCCTAAAGCAACCCGAACTCACCCTGTCACGAGTGAGCGAATTGGAAGGCAGGCGCTGCAACCAACTGAGCCACCGAGACGGTCAACATTGCGCGACCCTGTAGGGTTTTGAGTCCGCTCCAAAAGGCACTCGCATTTCTGCTATTAGCTTTTAGGATAAAAGGAGTAACACACGCACATACACACACACGCGCGCGCGCACACACGCACACGTACGCACATATTTCCGAGTTGTAATTTGATGGCGTAATTCGCATTTGGTTGTACCACAAAAAGGGTGTCGAAGAATAAAACCAGAAAATTTGGTACGGTGTGGTCCAGAATGAAAGAAATACAGGGATGGTGTTGATGGGCCTTTGCGAAGAAATCTGGCCATGAACATAGCTTCGAAGCGTCGAGTCTCCACAACATACCAACTTTTTTACGTCGCTTAACTAACACCTCCTGGTTTGCTGAATGTCAGTTATCTTCAGCATCCAACTCATCACCCCGAAACACCAAGGTTCTAGTTCCTCCTTGCTTTTATCAGTTTCCAGCACGTGTCAACGCATTGGCCCCGCCACTTTGTAGAGCAGCTGCCATTGAAGACGGGTGCTCTTGAAGACCCATTGGAGCTGATCTGTCATTCCAGCTATCGACGTCTTGTTGAATAGGCCGTGCGGATTCAGTCTTACTTTTATGTGTAGGTACATCGTGGCAGACATGCGCCTGGATCCAAAGGATGCATCCAGAATCCAGTGGGTTCTATATTAATGAGACAATGCAATCGGTTACTGTCATCCTTGGCTCCAGGCACATGTCTGCTGGGCCTGGCAGTGTACTCCAAAATCTTCCATAGATTATCCCCATACGCGTCAAGGTTCGCCATTTTACATAAAACCGCACTTTTGCACGTCGGCCGCTTTTGATGAACAATCAACGACACCTATGCCTGTACGTCACGAAGGCTCGAATTACTGAAATGTTTTTGTTTGTGGATCACGCCGCATTTGAAGCCTTCCACAAAAATGCATCTCTAGATCGCTTTGAAATGGAAAGTAATTTCTCCACAGCAAAGGAATTGTGGAATTAATGATTTTTTTGAAAGGTTTTGTTCACCGTGGACGTAAATTAAAGTGGTCCGAATCCAGGGAGAAATACGTTTTCGGAGCAGTCCGTGTCAATCTTCCCGCTCTGAATGACTTGCCCACACGTCAATCGCGGTTGGGCGTATAAATGCAACTTTTGACCCTGATCCGATCCTAGAGCTTCGATAATTTCAAAGCCAAGAGTCTCTGAGCCCTCACATTTATACATCTTTGAGAAGCTTTAGATAGCCGGGAGGCAATCGATGACTATTGAGTCTGAGCTTCGCATTTGCTAACTATGGTCATCGACGCTCAGCAGCCTCTACGTGACTGGTGAAGCTGGACGTCCGTTCGAATGATATATATTCCGAGTAATGACAACCTTGATTCACCCAAAATATTTTATTGTTTAATGATGCATTTAATGAACCGAAGAAAATTGGATTGCCTCGTTTATAAAGTGCCAAGCGGGCCAACTTTAGACGGGGAAAGTTTACTTGGGCACAACTTTGAGTAGTAAGCATACTGTGATGAGACGATTTTTCACATATCAGACGGGAATGGGCTTTCTGTACACGTAGCCCCATGTTCACAAATTAACGGTTGCATTATCGAGAACAACGTATCCTATTCTGCGGTACAAAGAAACCAATTATCAGAGGAAGGATCGAGCCATACTACCTTAGTACGACGAATATCAACATCAGCTGTACGCGGCCCTTTCCGTAGTTTAGAAGTGCGCGACGCAACATAGGCCCGAGTATATTTTTGCAGAAATCAACCCTGGAGTTGACTTCTGTTGTCTCCTGAGAGCAGTATTTCCTGATCAGTAGTCTTGCAAAATCCCTGAGTCCAATTTCATTACAGCATGCAAATTGGGAATGTTTTCTGATCGCAAATGAAGCGTGCATTCTGATCGCAGAAAATAATTTTCACTGAGTAAGCTGGAAACGGCACATATTCTAACAATGGTCATTCGACGTTGTCAATCCTAGTATTATTATATCACTTGGGCAGGTGATTTGGGAAGAAGTAGCCACACCCTAGAGCCCCAGCCCAGACTAACGAAGCTTAAAACTGTTTAAAACGTAGGGGCGTGAGCTGTCCGCGCCGGCAGTGCCACATCCCTTGGCAGGGCTGGCATGGCGTCCCTCAGATGGTGGCCTGAGTTCGCTGCGGTCTCGATGCTGCTGCTGACACTACTATGGCCAGGTGAGTCCGCTGACACTGCTAAAGTCAGGTGAGTACGGAACATGTGGAGACTGCTTGCCGTATTCATATCAACCATGACCCTCGCTTCGGACGTTATGGCTTTGACTTTGCGCGATACGACGCCAGTGTGGCGTGACGTTTATGGTAGGTCAGCGTCATCATGTTTGTTAAGAAAAACATGCAATAGAAAGCGAACGTTAATCAGAAATGCGCAAATGCGGTAGCTGAAATAGAAACACCTGGTCTGAAGCACACAGAACAAAATTCTAAACTGTGACCGCCGCCACGGAACAGCTCGCTCAGCTGGATGGATGGTCAGCCACCACACGTCTCACGAGGGATGCCACGTCCATATAGCAAGGTGAGGGGGATTACTAGCAACACTAGAGGTCGATAAATCGTTTAGATTTGAGCAGAAAATTTTGGAAATGTTGAGCCGCCACCGAACCGTCGTCATCGCTGAGGTTTACGCCATATAATAGAGTTTGTAGCTGATATGAATATAACTTGTGTTTAAAATCAATGTGTAACGTTTGAGATAAGTTGTCAAACAGATCGTTCAGTTGTTCTACATACTTCTGGCACGAGAGGACAAAATGATAAATGTTTTCAATTTGGTGTCCACACCGGTACGCCGGCGAAGCTGCTTCTTTAAACAAGAATTAAATGGGGATTCTAGCGGGCCATCTTCATTCTTAGTCTGACATACAAAATATTTTTCTCTCTTTTGATCGTGCTGTGGAATGATGGAATGGATCGGGCACTCCCCGTCGCTCGCAAAGCTGTTTTTCAAAGGCGGAGCGCGTGAGGTGTCGTGAGGCGTCATGTCACGCCAGTTCATTCCATTGCTTACTAGTTCTTGGAAAAATGGGTTCTGGCACGATAATGTGCGATTGGTGGTTGTAGTGTGCGTGCATTTATTTCTAAGGCCTCTGTTAATGTCTTTGGCGCGGGTATTAGGCATGACTGTTGTGGTGTTGTTTGGTGTACCTTGCCCTGGGCCGTTTAGTTTGTGATGGAGCGTCAGTCGTTGTATATGTCGCCTCGCTGTCAGTCTTTTCCATCCTAGCTCAGTTCGCAGGTTGTCGGATGGCGTTCTCAAAAGTGCCCGATCATCAGTCTCGCGGCTGTTTTGTTATGCTTTAAGTCTGATCGCGTCTTGAATTGTGATGTGTCTGTCGTAGATAGCATCGCAGTGGTTAAAACGAAGCCTGATGTACGCTTTGTAGATTTGGTCGAGAGTGGGCGTTGGTATGTGCTGTGCTATCGGATACAGAGGGCTGCGTGTTTTGTTTATTTTGAGCCATGTTTTGTTTATGTGTTGGTCAGAACGGAAATCTTTGGAAAATGTCACGCCAAGATGTGTGTGTGTGTGTGTGTGTGTGTGTGTGTGTGTGTGTGTGTGTGTGTGTGTGTGTGTGTGTGTGTGTGTGTGTGGTGTGTGTGTGTGTGTGTGTGTGTGTGTGTGTGTGTGTGTGTGTGTGTGTGTGTGTGTGTGTGTGTGTGTGTGTGTGTGTGTGTGTGTGTGTGTGTGTGTGTGTGTGTGTGTGTGTGTGTGTGTGTGTGTGTGTGTGTGTGTGTGTGTGTGTGTGTGTGTGTGTGTGTGTGTGTGTGTGTGTGTGTGTGTGTGTGTGTGTGTGTGTGTGTGTGTGTGTGTGTGTGTGTGTGTGTGTGTGTGTGTGTGTGTGTGTGTGTGTCGTGGACTGGTATTGGGTCGGCTCCGAATGTGAGTGCCGGTGACCGATGTTTGTATTTATATGAGAACGTCTGTTGGATTGTTTTTGTGGCATTGAACGCAATAGCCCATTCTTGACTAGAGGTACTTGTGTATTTCGTCAAGGTCGTGCTGGGGTGAACGCTCGGTCTCGCGCAAGTCAGTCGTAGTGTGCGAGGCGTAGAGAGACGTGTCGTCAGCCAAGAAAAGAGCATAATCTACCCCCGATTTAAGAGTCTGTCGAGATAGATGAGTGCTAATAAAGGTCCGGGTGCGGAGCTCTGCAGGCAGTCTGCATTTATGGTTTGAGCGGTCGAAGAAGTGTCACGTATTTGTGCTCTCTGTCGTCTATCTTGTAAGAATGATTCAAGCCAATTTAAAAGTTGTTTTGTGATTTCAGCCATTTTTGCACTTGTACAACATACCTTTATGAAATATTTTGTTAAAGTGTTTATGAATTATTGTCATAAAGTCACGTGCTATGTCCACCTATTTGTATAGGTTGTGCGTTAAGTATATAGCTAATGTTAAGTGCTGTGCCTCTGCCGGTACCCACTTTGCTTATCTGAGAGACGAGAATGCTCGGTAAAGTGGTCGTATATATTTGTATATTCACTTTTTTGAAAGCGTTTGAGAGCGCCGAGAGAATGTTTATTGGTCGATAACAGGAATAGTCCGATGGTGAGCCTTTGTTTTTGAAAACTGGTTTGATGTCTGCTTTGTAAAACTTACTGGGAACATTCCTGACACTAGGGATTTACTAAGCAACTGTGCTAATGGTTTTGAGATGAGAAGTGTAATACACTTTCGTAGTCTGACATGCGTTCCGTGGGGACTCGTAGATTTGTTTGCATCCATGGAGCAAATGATTTTTAGGACTTATTGTACGAAAATGGCAACGTTTGCTTGGGAAGGGCCCCCCCCCCCCTTCCCAAGCAAACGTCCGATGGTGCATTGATGGTGTTGCTTGGTTGTAGGAGTTGGGAGTCTTCCATGTGTAGCACGGATTGTGCTGCGAAATGATTGTTAAGTAATGTTGCTTTTTCGTATTCGTCAGTTATGATGTCGCCATTGGCTGTTTGTAGTGGTGAAGTGGCGTCATCTCGTGTACGTCCAGTTATGGAGCTCAGTGTGGTGATATGTATGGAGGCTATGCTTTTGTGCCAGTTGTCTTTGTACTTGGCTGTGTAAATATCACTTTTATAGCGTCAGTTTACGGTTGTTGCGTTCATACCTCCACCTATCCTGGTTGAAATTGCCTTAAGCTTACTTCGCAAATTAGAACAATCTGTCGCGCCTTCTAATGCTCCGGTCTAGTTTCGAGGTTATCCATGATTTTTGGTTTGTCTATTTCCTGTTGCGTTTAACTGGGATTCAAGCGGTGGGAGCGTTAAGTATTGCAGCAATGACTGACTCGGTTGGTGTGTCTACATCATTATTCATGATGTGTGCCCAGTCGGTATCAAGTACAAGTCGGGCGAAAAGAGGAGCGTTCAGTTTTGAATAGCTCCAAGTACCTGTACGGATCTTTGTTGTACTTTTTAGAAGAGAAATTGCTTGAACTTTGACGTCATGGTAAGTGGTTCAGGTACACGAAGGGTGAAAGAGTACCGCTCTCGATGGCTATGTTGCTGTCACTTGTGAAGATGAGGTCATGTGGGTTTTCGCAGTTGCCAACTTTTCGTGTAAGTTGTTTGATAAGCTGTTCTAAATCCACCGTTTCTGTCGTGTCTCAAAGTATGTGATCGAAACCTGCGATGCTGTTGTGGCAATAAATTCGTTTATCAAGGTGTTTCCAGCGCTTAAGTCGACCAATATTAACGTGGATGTGGGAATATGGACTTAGGCTTGACATGCTGGTTGTGAAGTGTTCAGTGAAGAGTCGTAATCAATCCGCCGTTAAATTCGGTGGGAGGCAAGCGCAGCATACTAAAAATGTAAAACTGCGTTTTAGTTTTGCTGATATCCACTCCTCGTCATCTATTTCTAGCTGGTTCAGTCTTTGGAACGGTAACGATGTGTGCATGTAAGTGGTGATTCCGACCCTGTGTCTCGTTTTATGTCGGGCCAGCGGTGTGCGGAAACCGTTCATTTTGTAAAGACTGTCAGCAATGGCGCCCTTTAATTTGGTTTCTGTAAGTGCGAGGGTTTTCACATTGTTAGTTCCCACAAATTTCTGAGTTTGTCAATTTTGGTTTCCGGCCGTGATGCTGTCAATATTGACGTGTGCAATAGTGAAGTTCTACTGTTGATGTAAATGTGATAGTCCTACATTTGTTTCGATGCCACTGATTGCTAATAACGTTTGGAGGCCTGCGAGCATTCCTAATCTAGCTTAATACTCATTTGAAACAGTCCTTGGAGAGTGAATTTGGTGTGGCAGTGGTTGTGCGTGTGACTGTGGCCTAGATAAGCAAGGTGTGGATAGGTGGTGCTTGCGAATGGCTGGGAGGGCCCGATGTATTTGCATTTGGAATGGCGTGTCCAGTGTTGGCGTGCCAGGCGGTGCAGCAGTTCTCCCAGACAGCTACAGCGGTCGGTGGACGGTCCACGATTGTGATGACTGGGTATCTGCGTGGACAGACCTTCCCGAAGAGGCGCCGGTGCCTGTGTTGGGGAGCACAGCATGAGTGCTTGGTGACGGCGGCGAGTGACACTGGGGCAGATGCACCGAAACAATGGAGGAAAGAACCTGGAGGTCGAAGTTATTGAACAGAGATTTGAGGAGAATGAAGAAAGGATGTCTGAAAGACTAAAATAAAGCAGACATAAACTTGAGATGGATAAGCAGACATTTAACGTATTCAGTGACTAACTAAGGATCCTACCGAAACTGCGCATTGAATAATCCAATGCAATGAAGGGTGAAAACGAAGCGACGAAATGGTAGCACCAACGCCAGCTGACGAAATAATTCGCAGCAGAAAGCAGCAAAAAATAAAAATGAAACACCGTAATGCCAGTTGGATGGTGAATTAGCTTTATGATATTGCGTTACACATTCATTTACATATACAATGCACTACTGTATTATACACAACATGTACTATGCAATACGCACTTGACCTGTCGCCATCCCATCCGCCGTGTAGTGTGTATAAAAAACGTCGCTGCTCAGAAAAAGTAAATGCCGGGAGCACGCTTTTGGAGTATATCAACGTGTGAAGGATGCTCCAGCCCACAGTTGGTGCTCGATTAAATGACATGCGGGAGAGGTATCTTTAAAAAAAACGTTAGGAAAACGCATCAACCACTTGTCAGGTCGTGGGTTGTGGCATTCAGGAACAAATCATAGCATTCACATATGCATTTTGGTTTTTTGGCCAGCTCGTCACCCCGGCCGGCCACTCTCAAGCTATTTTTGAGTCCACGCTTTTCCGCGTTGTGAGATATATGGGGCTTTTGAGTTAAAATAGAGTACCATTTTGTCATCGCTACGTGGCATTTGACAGCGCGAGTTGTCCTACCAGCACCTTAAATCAGGTTTTCGGACAATCGCACGGACTATATCTGTTTCCGTTAGTTTGGTACGTTTGTATATGGATACAGCGTTGAGACGAGTCTGGCACCCATACAAAATTGTGACATATTTGCCCCGTAAGAGGCTTCAGATGGCCAGCGTCACACCCTGTTGTCAGTAGAACCCCCAGAGGATGATAAGGATTCCCTATCAGATGTTCAAGATGCACATAGAATAGAAAAACATAGGAAGCCCGCCAGCCAAACATGATGCCCGGACACCAGAGACTCCGCCAGCCAGGGAGGCAATTTTATTCAATTTCATACACTAACCTAAGCGGTTATTATGAAAAAGCGAGCAAAACTCCGGACAAAGACAAGGCTCCATAATGGGGGATAGGATCGGAAACCCAAGGTCTTCTTGGGAAATCTGTTCGCAGATCTGATTGTCAAGAGATGTCCCTTAATCTGCTTGCCGTCCTTGGAAGGAGTAGGCGGCGTTATCCCTGGGTTACGACGGGTCGTGCATCTCGTTCTACGTTACAGTTGGTCGGTAAAAATTGCATGTTCAACTACAATCACTCTACTCTGGTGGTGTGGGTAAGAATATTTACAGCACGTTATGCTCAACAAAGACTCTTACGGTAAAGCTAAGCCCCCAAAGACAAAACCAAAAGCAAATATGGCCAAGGTCCTTTGAAAAACCTTCGCGGCGCCGTCAACCGCCAGACTGACACGAGCCAGCCCAGCTGCTTACGACTGGCCCATGTCCTAATGACTCTTCCCCTGCAGATGCCGCCAGCGCCACTTCCTCCACGCGAGCCTGTGTGCACGTGAGAGGGCTCGGGGACGCCGCTCGCAACGAGTGTGTGGACATTTCCGAGTCGTGCCGGCGCCGCCGCTGCCCGGCCGACACGCTGTGCGCGCTCGCCCCGGACCTGCGCCTCACCTGCCTGCCCGGCGTCGCCGGCCGGCTCCGCAACTGCGCGCCCGAGCCGCTGCGGCTGGCCCAGCCGTGTCCCGCCAACACCGTCGTGCTCGGCTTCGGACAGGGCTGCACGTTCTGCGCGGCCGGCGCGGCACCTAACGCGTCGGCTCCGCCGCCGGCTCTGACGCTGAGGCCGCAGCCAGGCGGCCGGAGCCAGCCGCGGCGGGCTTGCGTCACGGTCTGCCACGCCCGCGGCGGCGTCAGAAGCGAGTGCTTTGACGTGTCGGTGGAGTGTGACAGTCTGAATTGTCCGATTGGCACAAAGTGCGTCTTAAGACCGGACGGGGAGTACGGGTGCCTTCCGGAGTCAGCGTATGAGAGCGCAAATTGTGGTTCGGAGGAAATGAGATTGTCCCAGCCCTGCCCAGCGAACTCTGTCGTCGCTGGCTTCGGGCAGGGCTGCACATTCTGTACCTCCAATAACGCGACTGACCCGCCGTCCACAGCCTCGTCGTCAATAACAGCAAGCGCCAGCCAGGAGCATACACAAAATGCTTGCGTGGTCGCCTTTAATAGCTCCCGATTCTCTGTGGGGGAATGCTTTGACATCACCAGTCACTGCGTTCGAAAAGGGTGTTCAAGCGACACAGTTTGCGGTTTTAATTTAAAGGGAGCTCCGGAATGTTTTCCAGCGTCCGTGACAGCCTTCCAGAACTGTGGTCCGGACAAAGAACGTCTGGTGCAGCCGTGTCCGGCAGATGCTGGTGTCCTCGGATTCGGTGCAGGCTGCACTTTCTGCGTGGCAGGGTACCCCGTCGGCCCCGTATCAAGGACAGAACCCGCACCCATAATACAACGAGGAGCAGCAATAGGACCGAAGCCCACGTTAGCACCAGAACCTACGACAGGACCAGGTCCCGGGGTAAGCCCAAAGCCTGAGACAGGACCGGAACTCAGGGTTGGATCAGTAACCGGTATTACATTAGGACCTCCGATCCAGGACGTGGCCAGGAGTGCACGCGCACTGAGCACAGCCCAGGAACAATCGGCAAATATTTGTATTACGATACACAGCACTTCAAAAGGTGCTGAAAAGAAGTGCAGGGAAGTGTCGGCCGCGTGTGAGCTGAAACAGTGTCGTCCCGGCACGTTGTGCGGCGTGTCCATGGATGACGTCATCGGCTGCTTCACCGCGTCAGTGCAAGAATTTGAACCCTGTCGGATGAACATATCCGGCCACGTGCGGCCCTGCGCTGAGGCAGTAGACCTCAGCGGCCCCGAAGACGGCTGCTCTTTCCGCATGTGCGGCGGCTCCCTTGACTTGACGACCTCGCCGCCAGGCGGCAGCACCATCGGCACGTTTGAACTGCACGGGGCGTCCCGAGGGCGCGGCGCGTAACACAGGAGCCGTGTTGCGTCAATGCTGAGGCAGCCTCTTTGCTGAAGGCGGCATAATCCGTGCACACACCAAATTTGCAATATAAATGATTCACCGACTTTGTCGTGTTTAGATGTTCGAGTCTGTCTTCAACAAGGTCCACGCGAGTCGGCGGGCGGAACTAGACTATTTCTGTACTCCGCGAGACGCTCTGCCATCTACCGTTCGGTCTAGATACTACTACTCGCGCGCTATACTCGGTACTCGCACATCCCCCACCAGTCATTCAGCCCGCGGGACGCGATCGAATGACGAACACAATTTTTTATACGCGAGGGATGAGAGTGTACACTAGACAATTGAACACGACAAGCATGGCGGGGGAAGCGATCGCGGGCCGGTAGGGAGACGGCGGCGGAGCGCGGAGGCTACAGTGCGAAAATACGGGGTCGAACACTAAATCTACCGCACACGGTGTGCCTGCTCACTCCCTCACATGGTCCCAATTAGACGTTCGCGACGCCGGGTAGCCCGTGCAGACCGTCGCGGTGGCGCTGTGAAGACGTCGGGCGGTGCCTCTCCAGCCGGGGTTGGACATGGGGTCGGCTCACTCAGACGTCCCGAACCCCCCGCGAGGGCCGGCTCGGGCGGGGGCGGTGTGCCCGCCGCGGCCGTGGTCCAATGCGAATCGTGGTCCCCGGTCTTGATCCTGTTAGGGAACTGGCCCCCGGGGTCCAGGCTGACAGGGAGTCAACGTTTCCGTGCTCCTGGTCCTCGGCCGACTTAAACACCCGCATTGTCTTGCGGTGTCCTCAAACGGTGCCAAAGGACCTCTGGTTGACATTTAAGGCCCTACAGGCCGCGATTTTTTATGTGAGCTGCAGCCAATCTTTCGGGCCCTTATGCCCTTCAACCGGGCCCTTAATCGTCGGTTCCGTTGGGCCGCCTGGGCTTCTCTTCGCGCATCATCAAACACTGCCATTGGTTGGCTCGGGGCCCCTTGTGAACTCAGCACCCTTTGTTAGGCACTGTGGGCCGCTGACAGATACAGGGCCCCCGACCAGAGTGCATCGCTGGCCGCGGATTTGAAGCTGGTTGGGAAGTGAGCCCTCAGTCCATACCGACAGGGAGCCGGCTGTACGTTACTGGTGGTGCCTGACCGACATATAGACCTTTATCGAATCAGGGATTCCTGATCGGCACAAAGAGCCCCCTGACTGCCATCTGAGAACCCGTCCCCGCAGGTTGGGGCCCCTGAATAAGTCCCGACCAGCCCTTCATGTCCTTGGACCCTCCAATCGGGCCCTTGATCGTTGAACGTGGTGGGCCTTCCAGACTCTTCACCTCCTCGAACACTGCCTCTGGCCGAATTGAGGCCCTTGCCAGCACAGCGCCCCCGTCAGGCGCTGTGGGGCCCCGACCAATGTAAATCGCTGGCTCCGGCTTTGTGTCTACTTGGGAAATGAGCTCTTATGCCCATGCCGCCACGGGGCCGACTGTGCATTATTGGTAATGTTTGACCGACATATAGGCCCTTAAGGTCTTAATCGACTATCGATCAGCGCGCAGAGCCCTGTGACTGGCATCTCGATACCAGACCCTGTGGGTCGGGCCGCTGATACCAGGCCGACGTCCTGCCGGCCTTACGGGGCCTTTGGGCTTAAGAGCCCAAAGGCCCCGTAAGGCGGAGCCCTAAGTCATAGGTCCCGAGGGGCTCAAAAAGCTCTCGAAACCTGAGGGGCACGTGCCACCTGTAACCCTCCCCTCTGCATGCGCTACTGGTCTGATTCCATCTCGTTTGGTCCCGTCATGTTGGGTTGTGTTTTGTCCCGTACGAAGTCACCGCAGGCAGCGTGGTTTCGTGACGTCACCCCACGATCAGCTGAAACCATTTGTGACTGACAACATTTTCGCTCATCATGCGCACCCAAGGCTGTCTAGGCGCACCCAAGGCGGCGCACCGCAAATTTATGCGACGGCTGGTGGCGGGTGCTGGATCAAACACCGTGCATTTGCTACGCATTGATGTTGAAATGTATTTAGAAATGTATGGTGCATCTACTGATATCAAATTATCATGACACATGCCGGATTTGGCTGTTCAGGCCGTTCAAGAAGTGTAAGGCCTATGTTGGCAATACTGTCTTGCCGTTGATCGGGCATTCAATAATTTATATCAATGCTTTTTATTTATGGTACTCTTGCCTCCATATAGCATTGTTGGCCAGGTCAACAGTACCCATAAGTTGAAAGGGTGTAGGTGTACTTTCCGGCTTTTTTTTACTTGGGTACCTGTATTGCCGACGGTGGGGAGAGAGCTACGCTGGCTGCAGGGTTCCTGTACTGCCGTGATGGAGAAATGCTGTTAGGTATCAGCCGACGTAGTGACGTCACTGAAAATGGGTTTGCATCGATCGGGGTTCTTTTGGGCCGACCGAAGGCTACAAGGCATTTGCTAGCGATATGATGTCACTGGTATTCGACTGGATATGTGACGTCCCTGGTTGTGAGGCTTTAGGGATCTTTTGGGTGCAATGAATGCCGTAAAGCATCACCTGACGATATGTCGTCGCTGGTATTCAATGAAACATCAGGCGCAACAGGCCTTATTCCATCTTTACCTTTCGTACCTGTCTGCTGCAAGCATTTGCGTGCCGAATAAAAGCTTGACCGAATCACCTGAATGTGTGACGTCACTAATCATCACTTGATACGGGTGCACTTGGGCCCCACGGCCGCGGTGTATCATGCTCCGTGAAATATCACCGGATATCGTGACGTCACTGATATTCGACTTAATATTGGTCGCAACAGGTCATGCTTCATTTTTACCTTCGTACCTGTCTACTGCAAGCACTGGCGTGATGAATAAAAGCTACCAAATCACGTGAGTGTGTGACGTCACTGGTCATGCATTTTTATGGATCTTTGGGGGCCAACTGAGGGCCTAAAGCATAATCTAATGATGTGACGTCACTGGCATTCGACTGTGTGTGATGTCACTTGTGATCAGATTTTACGGCCTCTTTTGGGCCGACGAAAGGTCATACGACATTAACTGAAGATGTGACGTCACTGGTACCCGAATAAAATTCAGGCGGGACAGGCCATGCTTCATCTTTACCTTTGGTACCTGTCCATTGCAAGCATTTGAATGCTGAAGGAAGGCTCTGCCGAATTACCTGAGTGTGTAACGTCGCTAACCATTAATTTATATAGACTGCTTTGAACCCATCGTAAGCCACACCACATCAGCTGACCATATGACGTCACCGGTTTTCGTCTAGATGTCATGCGCAACAGGCCATGCTCTATCTTTGCCTTTCGTACCTGTTCACTGCAAGCATTCGCGTGCTATATCAAGGTGATGCCGAACCATCTGAGTGCGTGACGTCACTGGTCATGAGTTTATACAGGCTCACTTGGGCAGCCCAATGCAACAAAGCATCATATCCTGTGAAGCATCGCGGGATGATATGACGTCACTGGTATTCGACTCAACATCAAGCGCAACAGGTCATGTTCCATCTTTACCTTTCGTACCTGCCTACTGCAAGCATTCGCGTGTTATATCACGTCAGTGGTTAAGAGTTCTTACGGGCTCTTTTCAACCCCCTATATGGTATAATGCTTCAGCTGACGATATGATGTCACTGGTGTTCGACTTAACATCAGGCACAACATGTCATGTTCCATCTTTGCCTTTCGCACCTGTTAAAGTATTGGCGAGCCTAATGATGGCTCTGTCGAATCACCTGAGTGCGTCGTCATGAGTTTTTACAGGCTATTGTTGGCCGAGTGAAAGCCATAAGGCATCTTCTAACGATATGTCGTCACTGGTAATCCACTAAGTGTGTGACGCCATTGGTCATGAGTTTTCTCGGGCCTTTTTGGGCCGACTTAAGGCCATTAGGCATCAGGTAACGATATGACGTCACTGGTATTCAATTAAGCATCAGATACAATATGTCAAGTTTCATCTTTACCTTCCGCACCTATCTACTGCAAGTATTCGCGCGCCACATAAAGGCTCTGCCCAATCACCTGAGCGTGTGGTGTGACTGGTTATGAGTTTACGCGGGCTTACTCGGGCTGACTGAAGGACATCAAGCATCATCTGGCGATGTGACGTCACTGGTATTCAACCTAACACCAGGCGCGACAGGCCATGTTCGTCTTCACCTTTCGTACCTGTCTATTGTAAGCATTGACATGCTTAAGGAAAGCTCTCTGAAATCTCCTGAGTGTGTAATGTCACTGGTCATGAGTTCTTTATGGGCTGCTTTTTTGTACCTATAGGGTACAAGACATCAGTTGACGATATGACGTCACTGGTATTTGACTTAATCTCAGGCGTAACAGGCCATGTTCCATCTTTGCCTTCCGCACCTCTATACTGCAAGTATTCGCGCGCTACATAAAGGCTCTGCCGAATCACCTGAGCATGTGGTGTAACTGGTCATGAGTTTACGCGGGCTTACTCGGGCTGACTGAAGGACATCAAGCATCACCTGACCATATGACGTCACTGATATTCGGGCTGTGGCCCAGACTTATGACCGCTAGGCGACGCCCTTGATTATTATTTAGCCATTAGGGCATTCCGGACCGTAGCTGCTCAGGGGCGCATCCTGTGATGTCGGGCGGAATAGCTTTGCATATACGTCGGTTTGTGGGGTGGGATCACCTTTGTTTTGTGTTTACGTTTGTTCAAAATTTTATTCGTTGAAACAGCCCGTCGCGTTTGAAGTTGCTACTTAATGGTGCGCACAATAAAATTAGTGTGCTTAACTATGGTGCATCTCCCACCTCTGCTGCGGAATTTCGTAGCCATAGGTGGCCAAGTGACCTCCTACCAACTGATGATCAGTGACGTCACATACTCAGATGATTCGGCGGAGCCTTCATATAGCACGCGAATGTTTGCAGCAGCCAGGTACGAAAGGCAAATATGGAACATGACCTGTTGCGCCTGATGTTTGGTCGGGCACCAGTAACGCCATGTCGTCAGCTGATGCATTATAACCTATAATGGGTTCAAAAGAGCCCATAAAAACTCGTGACCAGTGACGTCACACACTCAGGAGATTCGACGGAGCCTTCATACAGCACGTCAATACCTTTAATAGACAGGTACGAAAGGTAAAGAAAGTACGTGGCATGTTGGACCTGATGTTAAGTCGAATAACAGTGACGACATATCATCCTGTGATGCTTCACGGGCCTTTGTGGCCTTGGGCGGCCCAAGTGAATCCGTATAAACTCATGACCAGCGACGTCACCCACTCAGATGATTCGTCTGGAGTTCGACTCGAGCGAATCGACAGAGCCTTTTTGTAGCGCACGAATACCTGCAGTAGGCAGATGCGAAAGGTAAAGATGAAACATGGCTTATTGCAACTGATGTTAATTCGAATACAAGTGACGTCATAACGTTATCTGATGCCTAATGGCCTGAACTCGGCCAAAAAAGGCCCGTAAAAGCTCATGACCAGTGACGTCACACACTCAGTGGATTACCAGTGACGTCATTTCGTTAGCTGATGTCTTATGGCTTTCGCTCAGCCAAAAAATAGTCGTAAAAATTCATGACCAGTGACGTCGCACACTCAGGTGACTCGGCAGAGCCACCATTTCACGCACCAATACTTTACAGGTACGAAAGGCAAAGATGGAACATGACCTGTTACGCCTCATGTTAAGTCGAACACCATTGACATCACGTCGTCAACTGATGCATTTTTCCCTATAGAGGGTTCCAAGGAGCCAGAAAAAACTCATGACCAGTAACATTACACACCCAGGAGACTCGACAGAGCCTTCATTCAGCACGTCAATACTTGTAATAGACGGGTACGAAGGGTAAAGATAGAACATGGCCTGTCGCGCCTGATGTTAAGTCGGACACCAGTGACGTCATATCGTCAGCTGATGCATTATACCGTTTGGGGGTACAAAAGGTCCCGTAAAAAGCTCTTGACCAGTGACGTTACTCACTCAGGAGTCTCGGCAGAGCCTTCATTCAGCACGCCAATACTTCCAAGAGACAGGTACGAAAGGTAAAGATGGAACATGGCCTGTCGCGCCTGGAGTTTAGTCGAATACCAGTGACGTCATATCGTCAGCTGATGCTTGATGCCCTTCGGTCAGACAGAGTAAACCCGCGTAAACTCATAACTAGTTACACCACACGCTCAGGTAATTCGGCAGAGCCCCTATGTGTCGCGCGAATACTTGCAGTAGATAGGTGCGAAAGGTACAGACGAAACATGGCTTAGATAGAGCATGGCCTGTTGCGCATGATGTCTAGTCGAGACCTAGTGACATCATATCGTCAGCTGATGCCTTGTGGCCTATAGTAGGTTCAGAAGAGTATACAAATTAATGGTCAGTGACGTACACACTCAGGTAATTTGGCAGAGCCTTCCACGGCAATGCTTGCAATGGACAGGTACCAAAGATAAAGGTGGAACATGGCCTGTCGCGCCCGAAGTTCATTCGAATACCAGTGACGTCACATCGTCAGTCAGTGCCGTATGACCTTTCGTCGGCCCAAAAGAGGCCGTAAAATCTCATGACCAGCGACACGCACAGTCGAATGCCAGTGACGTCACATCGCTAGCTGATGCTTTATGGCCTTCAGTTGGCCGCAAAAAATCCGCCAATACTTGCAGCGGACATGCACGAAAGGTATAAATGGAGCATGACCTGTTGGCTGATGTTCAGCCAACTACCAGTGACGTCATATCGCCAGCTGATGCCTTACGGCATTTCGTCGGTCCTAAAGGACACGTTGAAACCCACGACCATTGACGTCTTACAATCAGTCGTATAGCAGTGACGTCGTTAGCTGACACCTTGTGGTCTTCAGTTGGCCGAAAAGCACCGGTGGAACTCGTGACCAGTGACGTCACACACTCAGGTGGTTCGGCAGCTTTCATCCAGCAAGCCAATGCTTGCAGTAGACAGATACAAAGGTAAAAATAAAGCACGGCCTGTTGCGCCCAGTATTTATTCGAATACCAGTGACGTCACGCTATCCGGTGATACTTTGCAGACCATGACACACCGTGGTCGTGGGGCCTAAGTGCACTCTTATGAAGTGATGATTAGGGACGTCACACATGGAGGTGATTCGGTCAAACCTTTATGCGGCACGCAAATGCTTGCAGCAGACAGGTACGAAAAGTAAAGATGGAACGAGGCCGGTCGCGCCTGATGTTTAATCGAATACCAGTGACGACACATGGCCAGCTGATGCATTACGGCATTCAGTGGACCCAAGAGAGCCTTACAAACTCACGACCAGTGACGTCACATACCCAGCCGAATACCAGTGACATCATATCACAATCAAAAGCCTTATGGCCTTCAGTCGGCCCGAAAGAACCCCCATCCCGATCGATGCAAACCCTTTTCAGTGACGTCACAATGTCAGCCGATGCCTCACAGCTTTTCCCCCGCACGACAATACTCGAAACCCTGCAGCTAGCGTAGCTCTTCCCTCCGTCGGCCGTACAGGTACCAAAGTAAAAAATTACCTACTTTCCTACCCAACATTAGAAAAAATCATTTTATCCCATTTGTCGTGTTTAAGGCGGAACGTATCGTAAATAATCTCAAAACAGGTAGAATCACGCGCCTACCTTCAAATTTTAGTAGCTACCACGGCGAGCTCCCGAGCGCTGCACGCACCGCACCGCCTCGATTCCCCAGCACCGTTTCTGCGTTGTCGTTGCGTAATTACAATATTGCTGCTTATGAAGAACCGTAAAAAATGTACGAGACCAAGGTAACAATAATAATACGATGAAAATCGTTTCTTATTGCGTTTAGGTACATTTATGAAACGCACAGGCCAGAATAATTCAGAACATAGCCTAAACTAGCCTAACCTAACCTAACCTAACCCAACCTGACCTAACCTTACCTTACCTTACCTTGAAAATCGTTTCTTATTGCGTTTAGGTACATTTATGAAACGCACAGGCCAGAATAATTCAGAACATAGCCTAAACTAGCCTAACCTAACCTAACCTAACCCAACCTGACCTAACCTTACCTTACCTTACCTTACCTTACCTTACTGTACCTAATCTAACCTAACCTAACATGGATTCTTGTTACCTTGGCCCCATACATTTTTATGGTTCTTGATGCTGATTGATGCGCAGTAATGTTGTGACCGCGCGCAGTAATGGCGCCAGTGTCGCGACTGCTGTGTGTTTGCGGTGGTTGGATGTTCGGTATCATAATTAGTTAAGTTCCAAGGTAAGAGTATAGATGACATGTTTTGCGATTAATTATTATATGTTCTGCCTTAAAAACAATGATTGATGTACAGTGCTTTTTTGTAACATGAGGTAGGAAAGTACACCCTGACCTAAAGAACACTATGTTGCATTTAAGGTCCATGGAACTAAGAAAAGGATGACAGAGTCATCCAGAGTGATACTGAATGTCTCCCACAAGAGAAAACACAGCAACATAGAATTTAGAGGAACACTGCCAATATTGCATGATGGTGAGGAGCCATGTGAAGTGACACTGAGTGGGCCATGTGGTGTTGTGTCTGAGGGCAGCTTGCTAGACCTGTTTGCTGAGGTAAGTTTTTGTACACTCCCACCACAAGGGTGTCAACACCCCTCAAAGCTGCTCCGTTTTTCTTTTCTATGTCACTTTGAATGTATTTGCATGTTCATATTTCTCAGTTATTTTGTAATATTGTTTAATGTCTTCTTTTCAGTGTGTTTTGAAACACACCTGAAATGCTGCCTTTTACCCCGCTTAAGACTGGTTTATCACGTAATGTAGATAATTTGTGCATGACAGTGTGCCTCAGCTTGAGACCATGATTTGAGCAAGGCATTAAATGACAACACTTTATTTTCAGGGAGCATTTGGCACCAAAATAGCTGAAGAAATTTTAGAAAAATATCTAAAAATCCAGGAAGCGGTGCTAAGTGGAGAAGATGTCTCTGACAGTGACATGTTCTTCCTCCTTGATGCCACCCGCAGAAGGGATCGGCATGAGAACAAAGAGGCAGCCACAGACGTGGGCTTGTCGGAGGCTGTTCAGGCAATGCCCAGGAGTGCTTCAGATCATGATGAACTCATGTCAACTGGCTTGCCAGACACACCCTCAGCAGACAGGCTACAAGGCATGGCACACCTTGAGGAGCCTGCTGCATGTGCAGACAGTGGCAGTGACAGCAACAGCATTGACTCAGACGACGACGGCGACGATGCCCGGCCGGCGGCCCCACTCCGTCGCCGCCTGGTGCTGCAGCCAGAGGAGGTGCTGTTCCTGTCGCACGCGCTCGGCTGCGTGCGGGTGCGGACGGCGAGCGGCGAGGTGCTGGCCAGTGACGCGCTGTTTGGCCACCTGGCGGCGGGTGACCGCCACCTAGCGGCGCGCTACGCGGCGTACCTGGCGCTGCGCGGTCGGGGCTGGGTGGTGCGCGATGGCCTGCTGTCCGGAGCCGACTTCGGTGAGTGAATTCGCGGTCTGGCCGCCGCCCTGCGTACGCTCGAGAGCTGGCCCCTGATGGGCTCTGATACAGGACAGTGCAGGGGATGCATGCAGAGCCAGTGACGTATGGTCATCACGTGTGCCTAGATGGATTCCGCAATCCCTAGAGGGATTGCGGGAGCCGGAATCCGGGGCGAGCTCGTTATTGAACGCCCTCACGCCACCCACGGATAGGTCTTCTGTATGAGTTAGTTTCCGTGCTTGTGCTTTCCGGATTTATTCTGTACCCTCAGAATGTTTACGCACGTGTTGGCTCACTTCCTCCTCACCGCACCATGCCACTGTTATGACCCTTCGGTTGCATTTTTGTGTATGGACGCCGGGCAAAACTCGCGCTCTGCCGATCAGGAAGCTGAGCCGCCGCGTTTGTTTGCGCCGACAGTGGTGTACAAGCGCGGTCCGGCCTTCTACCACGCGTCGGTGGTGGCCTCTGTCCAGGTGCTCAGTCTCGAGACGCGGCGGCCGGTGGCCGAGCGCAACTGGCGCTCCTGCAGCTGGCTGTACGTGGCCGGCCTCTGTCGCACCGCCGAGCAGGCGGCCAAGGTGCGTGGACGGATCGCCACTAATTGAAACAGTGGGTTCCCCACGGACCCGCTTCTCAGTCGCCATCTCCACAACCTCCTCTGTCCTTTCCTCTCCCCGATGTTGTGGTATTGTAACCACGCGCCTGCTATTCGGGCCCTTTTGCCCTCAGGCTTCCAGTTTCATGGCTTCGCCACCTTGGCTGGACCCTGGTACCCTCGGCTCCCGGCTCTCGCTGCCGAGTTCAGTCCAGCGAGCAGACACATTGCAATCCTCTGATCCCTAAGGGGGTCGAATTATTTGCGCGTTTAGATAATAGCTGGGTTACCCCACACCTGAAGCGGCTTTTAAGCTTATTGGAGCAAGTTCCAAGGCTCCGTGTCCGTGACGCGTCTCGGGTGGCGTGCTGACGACGTGCGCCGCCGTGCTGACGACGTGCGCCGCTGTGCTGACGATGCGCGTCGCCGTGCTGACGACATGTGCCGCCGTGCTGACGACGTGCGCCGCCGTGCTGACGACGTACGCCGCCTTGCTGACGATGCGCGTCGTCGTGCTGACGACGTACGCCGCCGTGCTGACGTGTGCGCCGCCGTGCTGACGACGTGCGCCGTCGTGCCGAAGACGTGCGCCGCCGTACCGAAGACGTGCGCCGCCGTGCTGACGACGTGCACCGCCGTGCTGACGATGTGCGCCGCCGTGCTGACGACGTGCGTCGCTCTGCTGACGACGTGCACCGCCGTGCTGACGATGTGCGCCGCCGTGCTGACGACGTGCGTCGCTCTGCTGACGACGTGCGCCGCTGTGCTGATGACGTGTGTCGCCGTGCTAACAACATGCGCCATGCCGCGCCCCCGCTGACGCAGGCCGATCACCTTTCGGACAGGACGTGCTGCTGGTGCGGCTGCTCTGGCCGGACGGGCTGGAGCCGGCCGGCAGTCTCGCCTACCTGAGGCTCGTCAGCGTGGAGGAGGTGCTGGTCCAGCGCCGCACGCCCAGGCGCGAGCCGGAGAGGGGCCCCGGCGGGCAGACCTGAGGCTCGCCAGCATGGAGGAGGTGCTGTTCCAATGTTGATGTGGCTGTACGTGAGGGGAGGGACGGAACTCATGGTGGCTTCGCCGCGAGGCAATGAGAGGGATGTGTATATTATTGTGTGTTGGCTTGTTTTGGCGTTGGTGGTTCGTACTTACGGTTGTTGGTCACTTGTGTGTGGTAGTTATGTAATTGACATTCATGAACTTTGCTTTTGATTTGTAATAGTATTTTAATTGGTATTATGTAGTGTTAAGTTGAAATACGCAATAGCATTGATAAAGAGGACGCGTGAATGTCGCGTGGAAAGCTGTCACATTTCAGGTTCATTCACGCAAGAGCATGTGATTGAATCGCTGGGGAGGAGTCACCTCAGACCTGCTGGGGAGCGTGGTGTATCTATCCGCGGGTGTCACGTGTTTTTGTTCGTCTCCACTGCGCGACTGCGGTATTTTTGGTTGTGTTTGGCCCGTGCGCCTGTTCTAGACAACACGCCAGGACAACGAATGATCGACCATTCCCTGCATACGCAGACTCCGTCAGACGTGGAACATTCGGCGCTCAACATTGGACATTGACACATACTAACCGCCTAGCGCTCGGGGCTGGTCGTTCTTGCGTCCGTCCTTAAACTATGTGAGCCAGACGGAGGAATCGCAGACCTTTCGGCGGTTTATTAAGATCCCCGACGCTCTTCTGTTTTGTTTCTAGATTACCTCGCGTTCGTCCGCATATTCGCATATTATTTCCGATCCGTATTGTGCTCTTAGGAGTACTCGTAATATGACATATTACCATGATCACGTGGTATACCAATGTGATGATAATATGTGTTCTTTGCATTGGTGTGAGTTGCGTACCTGCGCGTGGGATGTTAAAAAGTATGGCTGCTATCAGGATCCCCCTGTTTCATTCTTTGTCCGTTCGTGTCGATGATGAATCGGTCGGGTGACCGCGGATAAATTACAGTGAAAAGAAGATTTGGCCTGGCTCCTGGTTGCGTGAACGAGCAAAGAAATAATCAAGAAAAGAGAGATTTAGATGGGAGAAGCGTTCACGACTCATGTTAGACACATGTTGAAGAGGACAAAGCCGCGTAGCGTAATGGTGGCCGGTATGGAGGGAGTGTCATGCGACCAGGTTACAAAAGAGAAACCTGCGCTGCAGGGGCACAGGAGGACGCTCTGATCTCGTCTGCTTCCGTAAACATGGCTACTCAGCCCGTAGTGTAGCGGACTCCTCTGGTCGTAACGGAGACTGTTGATGCCGTCATGGTGCAGATGTGCCACCTATCGTGGCTGATGGTCAGGATCGTATTGAATATTGCGTATCGCCATGTTGGAATGTGTTGACCACAGTGGTAGATGTTCCAGCTCTGCAGTTTCGCTGATGTCTTTCGATAAGTTCATTGTAACAGTTCGTTTTCTGCATTGTTTTTGGGTCTCTGTGGCGTGAAATTTATCACGTGGACTATGATTTCATAGCAAATAGCTGTCGCCGTTCAAACCTTTAGTGCGGAATACCTCCAGTTTGCTGTATTTTCATTCGCTGCGCAACGCACATGATGCGTTTACCTGAGATAACCATCGATTTCTCGAGTAGCACAATCGTCCGTGCGTTCTTAGGGAACCTCCGGCTTCGGTGACTCAAAATGAGGAAGAATTCTCACGTTGTTGCACAATAAAGATAAGACATATCACGTTCACTTGGTTTAACATTGGCAGTGCAATCAAAACGTGTGTAAAACCACACGTAAACGTTTCGTCGTCGCAGCTCCTGGCATCTTGCCGTCACACGCGAGTAACAGGATGGGCGTACACACCACATACATATTTAAGCACGCCCTGTGCTTGACTTGACTTAGACTAATGCGTAGTGAACGTGATCACGGAATGTGACAAATGATGGCTACTCGCTCCCGCCGATGATACGAAACGCAGTGCGTCAAATGGCCCATTTGATGCCGCCGATTGCACAGAGAACAAGTCAAATGCCCACATAACGCGGACCTATGCCGCGACGGGCGCCCCTGCTGGACGCGAGGTCACCTCCCGCCGAAGCCGGTCGTGACCGGCCGGCGTGACGGGCGGCGTCGCGGCACCGTCACCGGCCGCCGCCGCCGCCGCCCGTCACAAGCTCGTACACCATGAACACGCAGCAGACGTTGGGCGTGACGTGCAGCAGATAGGGCGCCAGGCCGCGGTAAAGACCGCGCGGGCCCTCGTGGCTCAGGATGCGCCGGATCACGTCCGCCGAGCCCGAGTAGCTGGCCCGGTGATCCTGTAGCCGCGCCCGCACCACCTGCAGCAGAGCAGGAACGCAGTGTCAGCGGGAACGCGCCGGGGTTGACGCGGCGGTGCTATGGCCGAGTCGGCCCGGGAAGCGGCCCGCTCCCGTCTCCGCAGCTTAGCACCGGCCAGGCAACACCGCCTCTCAAGAGCTCGTTACGCAGCATCGTAAGCCGGTCACTGGACCGGTGCGAGGATAGCCGTACAACACGGCCTGGTCGCCGAGTACCCAGTGATGTCTCGACTGTACGAGCGCCGGCGTGGCCGACTTGTTGGGTTTTGGCACCACTGGAGGCGAGGTGCTTGGGCGCGGGGATCTCGGGCTCTCCTACCTGGTACGGGTACGTGATGCAGGCGGCAAACAGCTTGGAGAGCGCGGCGAACTGCAGGTACTCGAGCGTTGAGAGCCGATGCTGCACCGGTCGGCCACGGCGCCGGTTGTACAGGCTCTTGAGCTCTTCGTACGCCATGAACTGGAGCGCGCCGTGTGACACGCCCCAGATGCCCGGCACGAAGCCCCGGTAGAGACCGCGCGTACCCTCCTGACGGTACGTCTTGCGCAGCGCGTCCAGCATGCCCGAGTAGCGCTTGCTCTCCGGCAACGTGGCGTCCAGCGTCGTCTGGAGGCAGAGCCTACCGAGCGGAGAGGCGGGCGACGTTAGCCGCGTGTTCCGCTGATTACCGAGGCAGTGGCGCGTTCCAACACGCTAAGCCTCGGCATGGACGGAAATGCTGTATTCAGTGCAGTGCGCGCAACAGCTGTTCGTCCATGCAGACACCGTACAGAGGTCGCTACCTTATCGTGCCTGGATGTCCCGAAGCATTCTAAGCGGACATTCATTCTGTCGCCTGTAGATGGCGCTAAGAGTCACTCACCGAGTGCGCACCACGCTGATGGGATTGGTCAGCGCCAGCGTCAGGACGCCCGCCTCGGAGGCCACGAGCATGTGACGGGCGGCGCCCAGGTCTCGTGACGGGTCGCCCGACTGCATCCACGACTTGAGCGAGCTGTAGCTGCAAACGAGCGGTCAGAGTCAGCATCCAGCCAGCGTCGGCAGGCTGGAGTGGACGACCGGGTCAGTGCACGCGCCGCTCGCACCCAAGTAGGACGATGTCGCAACGGCAAGTCTTATCGCGACAAGTCTGGTGCAGCCGTTCCGGGGACTCAGAAGCACGTCCGGCCGGGTTTCCCGCGCGCGTCAGCCGTGGATTACGGCGAAGTGCCCGCCGGGTCAGCCATACTTACAACATGAAGTAGAGGCCCCAGGAGGCGCCGGCGCCGCACAGGTTGGGCGTGACGCCGCGGTAGAGGCCGCGCACGCCTTCCGAGCCGACGATCGTGGTGAGCGCGCTCGCCACGCTCGTGTACTGGGGGCGCGCGCGCATGGCGCCGCCGTCCACGGCGAAGCGGATCTTGATGAGATCGAGCGGGTGCAGCAGCAACGTGGAGGTGACGCCGCCGGCCACGCCGCCGGCCAGGTGCTGCAGTGGCAGCGGCCGCCGTAGGGTGCCCGGCGTGGACATGGCGGCCGGTTCGGCCCTCACGGCCAGAGTCAGCTCGGGCGGCAGCAGCGGCGCCGGCAGCGAGGCGACGGGTGACTCGCAGACCAGCAGCGGCGGAGCGGCGACGGGCAGGGTAGAGCAGGGCCGGGCTGGGGTCTGCTGAACGGTGGCCAGGATGGCGACGGGTCGGCTCGAGGTGCGACGTTCGCCGCTGGCGGCCGCCTGCGCAGCCAGAGCCGAGGCGACTGAAAAAGCGTTCACCGCGCCGCGCGGCTTTTATACCCAGGCAGCCGGACCGCCCCAGCTGGCGCCTAACGGCAGATGGCAATGGGGGGGCTTGGCCTTGCTTTAACACCGCCCGACGGCGGCGGTGCTGCGGCCTGGCGGCGTGACGTAGCCGTCACTCCTCCAAACGTGGCGCTCCGATTGGTCGATGGCGGGGGCCGGTCCTGCGGTCGATGGCGCAACCGTGACGTCGCTGGCGTGGGCGCGCTCCGGGCAAGCGGGCGTCGCGGCTGTTCTGGAGGGGCGGCGAAAGCTCTCCATCCGCGTGGAGATCCTGTGGGCTGTCGGTCCGTCAGACGCACAAGGTTCGTCGCGTGTCCATGGTGCAGCTCACTGTTGCCGATGTAGCAGTGCCGAAAAAGTGAGATCGCTCGTTAGGGCCGGAACACCCGCCCGAATGCTCTGGACTGTTCCGGACCCACGTCAGCGCGGGCCTGGCGCCGCCCCTGGCGCAGCGGCGTCATCCAAGGCGGACCGGCCAGAGTACAGAGCGTCTCCGGCCTTGGCTGCAGGAATGCTCGGCCTGGAGCCCAGCCGAGAGCGGCCGCATCGGCTGACGTAATGTGAGCGCGAGCGGCGTCAAACGCGCGCCAGGCACACGGGCCGGGCCACCGCCGCATAACCCGCGTCTGATCCCGGTCCACGGCGGGAGCACGCGGCCCGTGCGTGGTGCCCGGTTGGTCCGGCGGTGTGAACGGCCTGCCGCGTGACCGCACTGGCCGTGAGAGGTCCAGGCGTGAGCATGCTCGTTTCGCCGCTGTTTTTTCAAGGCCGATGGTTATTGCGTCGCTTCTTAACAACTTGCCTCGAAGGTTGGGGCAGAAATTGTTGGCGAATTACTGCTGTAAAACATGACGCGATGAACTCGACAGGTGACCATAAATTAGAATACTGAGTGATGGTGTTGCTGCCCCTCCCCCCCCCCCCAGCCCAAAGCTGCTCATGACCGTAATTTTAAACCTCTAGATTGGCATGGCATCATGTGATGCTGTGACGTGAGCGAGCTGACTTTGTGTAGTGAGAAGTGATGCCAGTAGGGTGGTTTTAAGAGCCCCAGATAAAATGTACGCCTCTGGTCTTATTTATCGTTCTGCACTTCCGTGGTGTATTTTTGTTGAGTCGGGATGGTATCGATTCCGTTCACACGATAAGTCGGTGTCGAGTTAAATTAACCCAACTGCCGACGCAAAAAACCGAGGTAGGTAGCATACCCTAAAACCACATATCTATGCATATATTCATATATACATATAAACGCACGTTGTATATACAGCAACTGAAGCGTCAGTCAGGCAAATAAAATAAGCATGTATGCAGCAAAGCTTTTGATGTCAAAAAGAGGTGACTCTGTCGGAATCAATGCCGTAATTGAGTGGTGTTCATTGACTCGGAATCGGAGTCGACTCAAAATATTCTGAAGTGTTCGCGCCGTACTCGTTATCCGTCTTATACGTTGTGGCTACAATCAGAATCGATTCCGATGACGCAGAGCCGAACGCAAGACTGCGTTGACTATGACAGATTATGAAAATCACTGAAGTGGATGCAGACACGGAGGCTTTGACGCTTAATTATCGAAGGGACTTGGCACCGTGTTCGCGCCGACGCTCCCAACCGGTATATCTGAGGGCCAATAAACTTGCGCTACCAAACACCGTTTGAACGTCCAGGAAGCCGATAACGTCTGGCTTTCGATGTTGACGCGACGCTTGTTTAGGCCAGTCATCTCGCAAACGTCGAACCGCAGGCCGGTGCGCTCCAGCAGATGTTACGGCGCCATCGCCGGCCCAACGCTACGCGGTACCAACCCGTCACTGCAACTGCATTGACATTTAAGGAGTCTGGGCCGGGTTCGGCGGCTAGCCAGTGCTACTTCCCCTCCCCCACCTGCGCTCGCAGTCGAGATTATGCACCGACAAAGCCATGCTCTCAGGAACCAGGTGCTGGTCGCGCGTAGCGGACCAGTCCGAAACAGGCAAGTGCACAGCCTGGACCGTCGTCCCTGGATCGTCAGTCCCCGCTGGCACATGATTCGTCAAGGCCGACAGGCGCGCCTCGCTGTACGGCAGTGAGAGCGCATGCAGCACAGGGGCGGATCCGGCACGCTCGCTCCGCCTCTACTGTACGGCACGCGTGATGGCCTTTGGCAGCACGGGACTGAAGCCGACCGATGCTCCACATCCTGACGCGTGTGCTTCGACATTGCCAGCGAGAAAGGAAGGGCGAACGGAAGAATACAACAGACAATGACAAAAAAGCGAACAAGCACTTCGCGGAGATCGGAAGCAGGTTCGTAAACTGCGTGACGATCCGCTGCATTCTATGGGACACGATTAACAGGATATATACCCACCAGTGCTTACATTTGTTTGGCGATCAGGCCTATCCATAAAGAAATTTGACATCTTAGAATAACCAATGTTTTTGAAAAATCAACCACGTCGCTACAGCGTGTACTGAACTAAAAGAAGGTATGTTAGATGTCGGATCCTTCCAAGAAAAGCGGTTACTTTCCGGCCTGCATAATGTTGTCGCCGGCGTCTCAGTCGGTGCTAACGTCTGCTGTTGCCACCCGGCTTCATTGTGCAATGCGACACCAGAGACTAGTTTGTGCGGTTCACCACGGACACAAGAGAGCGAGGTTAGTCCGACGAGCTTTCATCGTACGAACTTCTGCTGTACGAACTGCTGTCCTACGATCTATTACGCATTTGCCGGGCGAAAAAATCTTACTTTAACCGCGAGCGCAGGCGATCTGGAAACATATGTGCCCTTTCACGTACTTACACCTATCAAAGTTAAAAGTGGCGGGACCACGTTCCTCTTGGTCGAAAAGCGAAAAGCTTGTGTAGGAGTGAATGGAATCAGTTTGCGTCTGATGAACTTTGACCGCCTAGGAATCGTTTGCGGTGTCCAGTTTCTCGGCGACGGGTGCCACGTGCGCGAACCCTGCCTTTCGCCTTCAAAACAGCGGTGACCTCGGACCGAGGCCGCTCGGGCGCTGACCGTCATGGACCAGGGACCCACGCCCACCGGGCTTTATCCCTAGGGCTATACCCAGCGACCCTGCAATCAACGGAACTAAACCGACTGAACACGCCGCGCAACGCCACAAGCCCTAGGAGCTACACCCAGCGATCCTGCAACCAACGGAACTAAGCCCACTGAACACGCCGCGCAACGCCACAAGCCCTAGAAGCTACACCCAGTGACCCTGCAACCAACAGAACTAAACCGACTGAACGCGTTGCGCAAGGCATAAACCCGAATGACTTCACGCTTCCTCAAGAGACTACTGGAGACCTTGACGGCGCGTCCATCCAGCGGGACAGTTGCGGCTGAACTTTGTACGCTCTTACGGCAGGAGCACGTGACTTTGCTCACCGCCCAGCCATCCATACATACAGCACAAACTGCTCCTCTGGCCACGACAGTCAGAAGCGGGATGGCCGTGGATTGTGTTAATCTCAAGGAAGGCGGTCTTCGTATATTTTGCTGCGTGTGAATTGGAACGCATTGTTCCGTCGAGTACAGGAGAACGGGATGAAAGGCAACAGGGGGTGAAGGCGAATGGAACGGGACTTGCGGCTTTGATAAATATATGTAAGCATATACTGGGGTGGCTTTGTTGTACATGCATACGGTAAGTATAATGTAAAATAATATATAATTATATATGTATATATATATATATATTTATTTATATATACAACCGTATTTCACCTTCATTATCTAATCTAATAAAGATATGATAAACGTAAATGCGTATATGCGTAAAAGGTGTAAAAACGACAACAAAGTTAAGCGCGTTTGAGTTATGTTTGGGTTCAGCAAATTTTGCACCGACAGATTGTGGGTACATTCGTAATGACCTGGAAGACGGAAGAAGCTATGCCGTTGACATCATTTATGACGTCATACTCCATATTCTGCTGCACCTCTTTGGGTTCGCAGCGACTCGGATGGCAAAGATTACGCGTAACATCACGTAGAATCGTCGCCGGACGCGCCGAGCGGGTTCAGTGAAGAAAAAAGACGACGCGCGCCCGGGACCGACGGCGGGTGAAGGCAGGGTGTGTTATACAAACAGTGTAATTTGTGGTTTGCTGTTGGGAGCACGCATAGTGGGTGCGAACGTAAATGCTATTGTTTCACATGTGCAGTTGCTGTCAGGAAAGTGAGGAAGATGTAAGCGGTAGGTAAAAGCGTAGCGCAGCGTGTACGTCCAGCAAAAATTATATGTGACGTCAAATAGAATAAAGCATTCTTGGCACGCTAGAATACACACTGTATTTACCTTTGTATGCAGTTAACACTCAATCTCAATGTGATGCCTATGCTTATAACCATAGGCTGTGTCTGACGGGTTTGTCATATCACGAACCATGCGGAGGATATGCGGTGGCATAGCCGCCTGCTGTAGAAGAACCAGAATGAACTTCCTGTCCGGTTCGATTCGGAGGTGGGCCGAGCAGATGATTTGGGATGACTTTGCATTCAAAACACTGTCGTGGGGTGTAGAGAGAGGAGAAGTTCGTGCTGATCTCGTGCAACATCTGATACAGAAGCGTTCTTGCCGCATCTTAACGCCACAAATGACCGGACAACGTGATGTAAAAAAGCACGCAGTTGAACTTAAATGATTTAAGATTATTTTGCACTGATCGAAGCAAGTATTTTCTTGGATCTCAACGTTCTAGATTCAACTTTCCCGGCATGAACGAATGGATGATGTTAGATGTAGCCCAACTTTTGACAGCTAGCGGTGGATAAGATGCAACCTTTCTATATCAGTCTCCTGAATTAACACCGTGGCTGCCGTGCGAACAATATCGGAATACCGGAGTACCGCATCTTTTCTTGATGCCGTGACCCAGCAGGTGGGTATCGCCAAATTAGAACATATTTTTCCACTGAGTGTCGGCACGGTGTGCATGTCATTTTGACATATGCGTTATCTCGAACGGTTGATCTAAGAGAATCATTCCAGATGAGTCTGAAACTTGTTATCTGTTCACTGCTGAAAAGACTGAAAGGAAAGCAAAACACTCTGTAGAGTTATTCCAGCCACCCAATCATGGCCGAAAAGAGTTCCCCAACCCCCCACTCAACCCCAGCAAACTGTTAACAACCGTCTCTCCATTCAGGCGCGATCGATTCAATGTTTGTCGTCCGCTCTTCTGGAAGTTTCCTGAAGTCTTGTCAGGACATTCA